GCAAGTGTCTCTGCTCCTACTTCAAGTACGTCTGTAACTTCAAATAAAACTGGTGAAAAGGTAATCTTCCTATAATATTAAATTATTATTGATTATACCATCGAAATATACATTTTTTTTTCAAATTTCAGTCAAAGGAAAAAAAAGACAAATGTGTTTCTTTGATGCGTCGTCTAACTAACATAAAAAAATCTAAATCACCTCCACCAGCTACTTATTCAATGGATAATCCTGTATTTGAGGATGGTAATGCCATGAATCCAATGCATGTTAGGTAAGCTTTCATGTATACTTTCTATAATCTAAAGCTTTGTGCTTGTATATGTTATATGGTTCAGTTTTTTATTATTCACAAAAAAAGAGTAATTTTAAGTATACTTAGTCTGCATGTTTCTCTATGCATTTTTTTAATTTTATTGATAATACCTTTGTGCACGTACAATTGTGAATGTACTCATCTTTAAGTCAAATAAATACTATCTATATGTGTGCTCGTATTGTTTCAGCAGAATTCATTAACAATTTTTTACATTAGTTTAGCACTACACATGAAATTACATTTTGTATCATAATTTCATAATGAATAGGGATTTTATTGTTCCAGTGATACACACTTCATTAATATACATTTAATAAAGAAATAAATTTTTATTTTATTAGTTTGAGACAATAAGAATAAATGATATTTTGCACGCATTGATATGTTTCTAATATATCTGTGGGGTGGGGGGTTGTATTAAAAATTAGATCGGGATCTTGTCCAAGTCAGTTGCTACAGGTGGCACCCACACAGGAATTAAATGCTTCGAACAGTGTTCATCGCATGTGTCCAGGCTCTGTGCAAGGGCACGTCACGTCCTCACAGAGACTAAAGTTCAAGGAGAGACCCTCTTTACAGGTCTCAGTTTTCGAGAGGTTAGTCGTTGTAAAGTAATTCTAAATAGAAACTTCAAAATACAAATTTCGATGCGACTTTCATTAAATTATATTTATGTTTATTTATAATATGCATAAAATTATAAAATAGTTTTAAAAAGCTGTTATAATAAAGATAAAGTTTAAAGTAAATATTAGCTTATAATGACTTTCTAAATACATACAGAAAATAAATTTCTATATATGCTTTTTTTATAATATATAAATAAATAAAAAAAAATACAATGTAGCTGTCACATAAGCTGTACATGCTTTTGGCAGTTTTGCATTATAATATGATCATGAGCTCATGATGTTGACCTTATTACTATGTGTGCTAATTGTGTAATTCAGTCAGGTAAGTGTTTTATAAATGCACTCAAGAAGATAATATGCACTAAGTATTTTTACTTATGTTTTTGTTAGTAGTATTTCATGAAAATGACAAGTTTAGTATTGTTACATGTAATAGAATGAATTAAAATATTTATTTACATTATCAATATATTCTTTTATTTTATTACTTGTTCTTTTCGACAATGCTAGACTATTTGTTGTATTATAGTCATTTGTTCTCGTTGAATCTCATCTCGTGAATGTGTCAATTTCTCTGGAATTTTCGAGCTTATATCTCTTAATTCTGTGCTTTATATAACATTATTTTTAATAGATCGAGCGATACAAGCGGAGTAGTAATGCCTACAACCGTTGCTGGTAATCATCATCGTAAAAGTAATTCTTTGGATACTGGTATAGGTAAACAAGTGAAACAACAACCTTCGCGTGAACGGTGAGAACAATATCTTTTATTATATTTGTCAATGTCCTATTGTATTTAACTCTGTTATTTCTTATATTATGATAATTAATCAAAGCTGCTCAATAATTTTGTTTACACAGTGAACGAGTATATAGATTTCGTTGCATAGTTCCATATCCACCTAATAGTGAATTTGAATTAGAACTACGAGTAGGTGATATAATTTATGTACATAAAAAACGTGATGATGGATGGTATAAAGGGACGCAGCAACGTACCGGACGCACTGGTCTTTTTCCCGCAAGTTTTGTGGAAGCTTTCTGAGAACCAGCTCAAGGTCGACTAGTACTAGAAACATGTATATAATTAGCGTAGGATAATATAGTTAAAAGATACTAAGTCATGACAAAAGTAAAAATTCATAAATAATTTCTTCATGAATTGTCAATATTCAAGAACTGTCAATATTGCATAACAAACTAATGCTCCAATTAAAATGTGCATGATCATAAAGGAATACCGTATTACACGTATAAAATGTGCTTACAGTTTATATACTATTTATATCAGAGAGGAGACAATGTAATGTACATAAATATGCTGATACATTGAACTTATACTGCCATTGATAATATAGTAAGTACAAGGATGACTAGGTAATAATACACGTTTTGTGCAATGTTTATACTGCCACTTAAAAGTGACTGTTGTAAAAGAATATTTTTTGCTAATGTTGTTTTAATGCTTTTTGTTTCATTAATTCAATACGCTGCCATTGTAAATAATGTGTATAAATATTATATACATATATATTCGAATGAGTACGGGTATATATAACATATACATTTTATCAGTACATAAAAGTAGCAATAGCATTAATTAAAAATCATTGTTTGAAAGTTTGAATTTATCTTAACAATTCGTCATATTTACATATCATCAATAATCTCATTGATATTTTTTACATTCTGAATAATACTTGTTTTTTTCTTTTATTAACAGTATTATTAAGTCAATTCAGGGTGGTACAGAAGTGACAATTTCAAAATAATGTTACTGTATCCCATATAATGTTTTCTGCTAATATATATTTATATTTATATTTAAATTTATATAATACAAAAATTACTCATGCTCTGCTAATTATTTCAAAAGTTTATAGTACACCATCTTTTGGTATAAATTTATGATCTCTTTTATAGATCTTCATGTACCAAATACATATATATGTATGTATCTGTTATATATGAATCAGTTTAATCTTCAAAATATGATAACATTAGAGAATATATACGTTTGATAATATATAAAATTGAAGATAATGTAAATAATAAAATTGTCCACGTAGTACACAAAATGATTGCATAAGGTATACCGCAAAATGAATGCTTAAGATATCTCGATCGATTAGCATACACAGCTTTATAATACATTCATTACTTTCTTAGATAAAATAATCATGAATAAAAATCTGAAATCTTAAGTATATTTATATTCAGAAGAACTACTTGTGTTCAAATGTATCATTCTAAACTTAATCACTTTGATTAGCATTGGAGGAAAATGCTAGGCTGTACTATAATTACAAACAATAATATCCTTTATTCTTATTGAGCGCATATATATATATATATATATATATATATATATTTGTGTAGAAAAAATGGTAGAATTTTGTAATAGCGGACTACTTCTCATATAACAGTTCTTCAACTAAATAATAAAATATTTAAAATTATATTATGCAGTATATTTATAGGTGAGTATTTTATATGAAATCAAGTAATATTATTAGAGGCAACGTAAAAAGAGAGAGATACATCAATTAAATATACTACAAATTAGATAACTTATGATATCTAATCCAACATTTACTTATCAACAGTTAAATATTCATGCTACAAAGTTCAACATTTAATACAGCAATAATATGGGTTATCATATCTAATAGCACCAAATTTATATAACTTCATTATACTGTAAATTTATCCTCTAATGCTATATCAATGAGTTAATATAATCATCTATATACTCGATATACAAGGCACCAATATAAATAAAACTAATGCGAACGTATATAGGAATATAATTACTGTAAATATAAAATATATAAAATTCCATGATATATATTGCAATAAGATATCGTAATTTTAGGATATTTTTTAATATGTTTTCTTTTTCTATTAATTTATTAAATCACGAAGCAACGCTCCATGATATTTGTTATAAAGAAAAATTGAATCGACTGCACGTAGTTTATAGTTGGTGCAATTTGTTAAATACTTTATTATCGATTTAATAATATTTCGTACGTAAAAGGAAAAATAATATTTAAATTGAATTTTGGAGCTGTATAAAAATTGTAATTTTAATATATATATATATATGTTAAATTTATTTAAGTTATAATAATTTACAATATTTCTTCAGGACTGCAAATGGGACACATTAATTAATTATTCGATAATAATAAATCAATACGAAATATTTCTGTCATTAGTATATAATAATCGATAAAATTTATCTTGATGTTGTGTCCACAGTATCTACAATTATACGAATATTTAAATGATATTTAAATAATCGATATATAAGAGTTGTAATAAAACAATGAATGCCTGTCACCAATTTTTATGTATATATATACATATATATATATATATATATATAAATATATATATATATGTATATGTATATATATGTTTTTCATTTACTTCATGTTATTTAAAAAAAATAGCACATCTTAATGTATACTAAAAATATAGTATTCCTAAAATAGAAATAAAAAGCCAAGACGAATGATGCATTGCATTTTAGCTCATTCATGCGGCCTACGGATGATTACGTTCGATATGAAACGCAACTAGACAGATAGTACAGTTTGAAATGAGATACTTTCGCGGTGGTGATAATTTAAAAATGTGCTTGGTAACATATTATTCCTCAGACTATATATATATATCATTTCATACATCGACGTATTAATAATATTATATAATAAAATCTCAAATTTTCGGTGCTAATGAAAACATTGGCTATTAGTACCAATATTTTAGATCAAATAAAGTTCGCGACGAATTAACGAACGAACATTTTATCATTTTAAATGCTTCTCGCATTACGAATGCGTGATAACGATTAATTCATCACTTATATTATTGAAGGTCATAGAAAATAAAAAAGATATTCAACAATATTCGGGAATATTATTGACATTTATCTTATAAATATCTTATAAAAAACTGCGTTTAGATTTTTGGATTTCTTGGGATATACTAACGAAAAATAAAAGTTAACAACATGATTAGAGAGGTATTATGTTGGCAATTTTACTTTCACATTTTATTAATCAGGATTGTTGCGTGTTTAGTAGTACACGTAAGAAAGATAAAAAAATGATAAAAAGTTTGCAAAAAAATAAAGTCAAGTATCAAAGACAAAGATCAGACCGATATATTTAATATCCATTTAGAACAGATTTTTAATAGAAAATAATAATCTATTAATATATCAAGTGCAAAAATGATGGTGCATTGACATATGAGCATGCGCGGTCCTGTTTGTAGCTTATTTATTATGTTGTTAATTATACATAGTACAGTGCTGACACGCAACTATAGACATAATATGCACACAGTTTCTATCATATTTAGTATGCGTCGAAGGCTTGTCGAAGGTAGTTTGTCTTAATGCTTCTTCGTCGATTGAGTTGCATCTCGTAAGTTTACTCTCAAATTACGCAGAATGTTTTTATCCAACGTATTTTTTTTTCTTTTTTTTCTCTTTTTTCTTTCTTTCTTTCTTTTTTTTTTTTTTTTTTTTTTTTTACATTTTGCCATTTCAAATTGATCACTTTCTTCATCTAGTATGTAGTTAAAATACGATCTTTAAATTGAATTACATTCCTTCATACAGACGGGCATGTAGGTTGATTTTAATTTGAATTGGATTGTGGATCGAATCAGTTATGATTCGCAAGAATATGAACGAACTTAACGATAACCGTCAATATATTATTGGTTTATACAACTATTCTTCAAGTATTTATGACTTAATTCGATGTGTTTTAATAAAAACAAAGCAGATAATAATTACATTCTATGTCTAATTATAGATAAAAAAACATTAAAAAATCGATCTTTGATCTTGCTTTATATACTAGTAGACATCCTTATATATTATTAGAAAAACAGTCGCTGTTAAATAATAAATCAAATATCTTTCTCATGGTTTTGATGTTTTTTTCGCAAAATATCAAGAGATTAAGTTGAAATATATCGAAGGTAACACGTTACAAAATAGTTTAGCAGAAATAGTTTTATATGTGTGCGATCACAATTAGAATTTATTTGATTAAAAACTGATTATATTGTAGGTATTGGAATAAATTTTTGTTATGATGACACAAACAAAAATAATGTCTTCTTTTTTATGGAAAAGATTTAATTATTATCTACAACCAAGACAATTAATAAATAGACAAAATATGGTAATTATCTTCATTTTATAATTCATTTAAATATTATATATTTGAAATAATCACTGCAAATAATTATTCTACTATGTTTTTATTAATAGGCTATTATGCTAATAACTCCTAGATTATTGTCCACTTGTGAAATTACTAAGAACATAAAATTTATCTCCCATGATAATGACATTAGAATATCAAAATATACAGTGAAAACTTCTAATTCATCAGAAAAACGACCTTTGCTAGTTTTGATTTGTTGGCTTCTAGCTAAAGAGAAACACTATATGAAATTTACTGATTTGTATTTACAACACGGATTTGATGTTACGATAGTAACTATCACTCCATGGCAGCTTATGTGGCCTGAAAAAGGATCCAGAGTAAGTTATTAAATAATATGTAAATTATACGACACTTAATTACACTTGAATACATTTTACTTGTAGATAATTGCAGCAGATTTGTTGACATTCTTAGAAGAAAATCAGGATTATCAACAAATTATGCTGCATGGATTTTCTGTGGCTGGCTATTTATGGGGCGAAGTTTTAACTTATGTACATAGCAATCGTGAAAAATATAATAATGTTATTGATAGAATTATTGGTCATGTATGGGACAGTGCTGCAGATATTAGTGAATTTATTATAGGCACGCCACGTGCTATATTTCCTAATAATCCTTTGTTGCAATCTATAATACAAAAATATTTAGTGTAAGCTACAACAAACATGTACATAAATAACATGTAGTAAATTAATTTACAAACTAATAACTTTTTGAAATTTTTAGCTATCATATGAAAGCATTTTACAAGCAATCTACACAATATTACCTTCGCTCTAGTCAGATGTTTCATACAAATTTGATACGGAGTCCAGCACTTTTTCTTGTAAGTAATGTAGATCCTGTGGGACCAGTAAGTAGTAATATGAGGGTAAGAGATTCATGGGATTCCTTAGGTATAAAGGTAAAGATGAATATTTATATGGGTATTTTTCTAACAATATAAATATTTTTTCCAATTAATCTCAATTTATTTAATTGCAGACTTATGTTAAAATATTTGATGGATCACCCCATGTAGGACATTATCGGAAATATCCAAAAGAATATATAGCAGAACTTCATGCATTTTTAAGGATGTTAAACTTAATCAAGAATAAAGATAAAATTACAGCCAAAGGCTAAACTGAAATAGATTATTGATTATAAATATTATTAATATCTTTATATTCATCTATGTCTATATGATATATACCATCAATTGTTATTTAGTACCCATATATACAATTTACTAATATTATTTTTGCTATGTCATTTTAAAAATCAATCAATTTAATATATAATCAATCTAATATAGAAAAATTCTTACTTTTTAAAAATAAGAGGTATATATAATCTCATTAATGGAATATATTGTGTATCGTAATTACTTAAGGCGAAAGGATACATTAAAATAATAAGTATTTTCGAGACTGAATATATTCGTAATTATTTTAAACTAACGTCTTTGTAATATATTTTTGCAAAAAATGTATTAAAATATATGTAAATTTTATTAAATTCGTAATTACGAATGATTTTGTACCTTTTCTATAATACAAATCATCGTTTCAAATACTAATATATACTTTATACAGTCAACTTTATTTACATTATTAGAAATGTATAATTCAATCTGTATTATCTATTTTCATTATGTGATATTTCTGTTTTTCTTTTTTGCAATTTTCGACGTTTTTTATGTTTCTGTAAAATTAAATCTATTTCTTTTGGATCTTTCCCTTCCAATAGTAACTGTTTTCTCTTATTAATTATTTTTTTCTCATAAAAATCAGCTTCATCTAATTTTATTTCTGCTTCTCTTTTTGCTACGGATACCTGAGTTAAGATCGTAACAACTTCTTCATCTACGAAAAACAATTTGTTATATATATGTACATATATGAAAAATAAATTTTTTTATCATATTACACATAGAACTTAATGTTGGAAAATATCTTACCATCTATTTTGTATTCAATTAATTTTGTTCCAATAATACTTTCAATTGCATGTAGTAATTTTATATCATACGGTGTTATCAGACTAACTGCCATACCACCTTTACCTGCTCTTGCTGTTCTACCAACTCTATGAATATACTCTTTTGGTACATTTGGTATCGTATGATTAATTACTAATTCTACGCCAGTTATATCTAAGCCTCTTGCCGCGACATCAGTTGCTATCAAAATTTTTATGTGATCTGATTTAAATTTATTAAGAGCTGCTAAACGTTCTTTCTGTTTTATCATTGCATGAAGTGCAACATTTATAAATCCTACTTCATTTAATGTCATAGATAATAACTGGCAATTCCTACAAAAATAATATATTTCAAGAAAACTTTCAAAAGAAATATATATCTACAGATATATCCCTTACTTGCAAGTATCTGTAAATATCATAATGGATCCAGTTTCATTTGTTGTGCGAAATGTTCTTACAACTTCTACAAGAAAAGAATCAATAGCATCTTTAGGACACAAAACATAACGTTGATCAAGTTCTTTTACCGTAGCAATACCAGATTCATCTTTTGCTTCCCACATAAACACCTTAAACAGTAATAATAAATAATGTGTGTGTGTGTGTGTGTGTATATATATATATATATATATATACAAAGGCATAATAAAAAAACATAATTGTTATACCTTCCCAGGGGCAAGATGTTTTGCTTTATCAAGAGCGTCTGTAATTGTAGCACTAAATAACAAAACTTGTTTTTCTTTAGATAAAGTTGGAAGTATAACTTTCAGTTGTTTATCAAAAGATCCACCTAATAACCTATCAGCTTCATCCAATACTAAGAACTTAATTTTTTCCAGAGAAAATGTATTACAACTTTCTATATGATCCGCTAATCGTCCAGGAGTTGCCACGACTACATGTGGTTTTTTTGCTAATTCTAAACCTTGTACCATCATATCCATTCCTCCGACAATAACACATTTTTTCAAATTGATTGATTTTCCAATAACAGCAAATTGATCAGCTATCTATAGATAACACATATTGTAGATTGCAATCACATGAAAATTAAAAATTTGTTTTCAAGTATTTTGTTAAACATACTTGAAATGCAAGTTCTCTTGTAGGCGTTAATATGAGAGCAAAAATGCCATAAGGATCTTCACACAATTTCTGTAATATAGGAAGTGCAAAGGCAAGGGTTTTACCACTTCCTGTCTTTGCACATCCTATGCAATTATCACCAGCAAGTATACGCGGAATACATTGCTGCTGAATTGGTGTTGGTTTCTTCAATCCTATAAATGTAAAAATAAAAAATTATCAATTATCTTTTTGCATAAAAAGGTTAGGTATAATTTAGATAAGATCGTATACAACGGTAAAATTAAGTATTCACTCTTGACGTGCATTAATATTGCTTCTACTTATGATAAAAACATATAATATATATGTATAAATATATATACATATTGTAAAACAGAAAAAAGTAATTATTTTTACCCATAGAATTGCATTGAGTAATGATCCACGAATTGAGATTTAGATCGGTGAATGATTGACAATCGGTAATCATTTTACAATTTCGTGTAGAATAATTATTTAAACGAAGACAAAATTGGCAAAATATAAGAAAATAATATAATATCTTTCCAATAAAATGTCAAAAACCCGCGTTTTCTTGCCAAGCACTTAACGCATGCTTCGCACACTAAATAATGGCGTAGCAATATACACACATACACGTATATATATATATATATATATTATAAAAAATTGAAAGCTCGTTAATCAATGTTGTATAAAATAGAATGTTAACAAAACAGTATTGGTATTAAGTTATCTATATATTTAAATAATATATATGTCTATATATTATTTTATAATATATGACATGATATATGATTTGATATAAATAAAATATATGATTCGTAATGTGTGGGACCAACTTCATCGATGGACAGGAGACATTAAACAATTTGAAGAGTTCATATAAACATGTGGCTTATTCAACCTTTTCTAATTAAAGCCACTTGATCTGTTTGTATATATACTCAATATCTTTCAATCTGTTTACTAGTATTATTCCTGTTTATATTCCCGCTAAGAGCAGTTGATACAACAAAAGCTATGCTATGCTGTACATTAGACATGTTCTAGGGCTTATATTACTTTATTTTTGTGATATCAACCTAGCAATAAGCAACTGATGCTGTGATAATGAATTATTTAAACTAGAAAATGGAAGGCATGCATTTGATATATAGACTCGGCGAATGTAATGCAGCAGAAGCAAGATGTCTATATGGGGATTCTAATCGTTTCTCTAATAAACATCTTCCAGACAGGAAAACGTTCCAGCGATTAGACGAACACCTACGAGATACAAACTTTTTTAAAAAACCAATGTTAGATTCTGGTAAATCCGTTAGTGTTCGAAATGTTAATCTCGAAGAGTCGCTTAGAAAATACTGGAAGAAAGAAGCTCGACAGGCTCGAACATAACTTGGCCATCGAGAAAGAAAGAAAAGAAAATTACTTTAGTACTAAATGAATGCTATTCTTTATGACATCCAGGGTACATAGATCGTGTATTAGTCTAGATCCTTGTAAAATAATAACAATAATAACGGTCATAAAAAAAATACGTCAACTAAAAAAAGAGAAACATAAAACATACATGACGCAAAGAAAAACAGATTTATATATATATATATATGCACATACACACACACATACACACCAAAGTAAATACAACAAACAATCAAAGAAATAAATCGAAAAGAGGAAAGAAAAGAAACACGTTTATATATGTATGGAATATCGAGCGAATATTGCGTTACGTGATTGATTTATTACTATATCTTAAATCATAAAAAATAATAATGTGATAATATACATTTTATATATATATATTTTTTTTTCATAAATCATTTGTCGAATTGCTCAACAAAGACAACAATACAATTATAATGTACAGATGAAGATGAAAATATGTTGAATTACTCCGATGAATATTCAAGAATATTTTTTTCCCCTAATGTCGTAAAACTCGTCTATAATTATTATAATAATTATAATGACATTGCACTCCGCAGTCTCGTATGTGCTAAAAAAAAAAAAAAAAAAAAAAAAAAAATTTTAATGGCAGTGACGTAAATTCTGCCGACAATGAAAGTTAAATATTTATGGATTTAATAGAGTTATAAGATAATTTTAATTTTGAAAATTTACTCGTACGTGTCATTTCGACTCATAATTGTCTTGTTCGGTAATACATTTTTTAACGCATTCAAAATATGGACGTAGTATTTCCTTCATCGTGCAAATCCATCGAAAATACGTTATTCAAACTACATGAAGAACCACAATTTTATAATTTTCTATTGTCACATGAGTCATTTTCTTTCATCATCGAAGTTTAGACAAAATGGGCCGCTACGTTTAGATTATATTTGAGATAATCAATGCATATAACGATTAACGTTATTATATAAAAAAAATTTTAATAAAATTCTATAAAATTCACAGAGTATTGAAATAAATATAAAATAAACATTGTTTATGTACTTTTCAATTTTAAAGAAAAAGAAAAGAATCTTAACAAGTAAAAATGTTGATCTGATAAAATCCATTTTGTTTACCTTTTCAATTTTATATGCTTCTTTGTTAATTTCATTCACTATTTTATGTAATTTAATAACTTGCCTATCTATAGAATATAAAAGTTACATGTAAATCATTGATTCTTGAATATAATTAAAATGATGAACTTGTCAGTAAATAATTTATTACAAAATTAATTTAAGTCTTCCTATTGTACCCATTACCTGTTTTCATGAGACATTGGAATAACATATTGAGGTGGCAATACTTATATTTTGTCGACTTAAGTATTCTCCAAAGAAAGAGAAAACTAAGAAAAATATTTAGTATTATTTGATAATATTTACATTGATTTTGTCACAAAAATCATTGATACGAAACACATAAAAATATATTAATGATTGCTTGTTTTCATCGTGTTTTGTACCATAGCCATGCAGAAAAGAGGCACAAAAATAGATATAATTTTTTACATATTAACTATTACAGTTTAAGTTCTGTCATATTATTTTGTATTTATTTATATATATATATATGTCACTATGTTAATTCATAAGTATTTATAGTAGAAAAAGCGATGTCTAAATCATATTACATGCAAACTGAAACAAGTTTTATGCAAATATAACTCATAAATATTTCTGTTGGAATTTTCGATATTTCTTCTGTTGGTGTCATCGCTGCTTACTTTGTTATTTATTATTATGAAGATATTTTTATTGCAATCGTAGTGGTATAGAATCTGTCACTTGTAATTCCCCTTATAATTTGTCATAAGCATAGTTTCTAAATAATAAGCAAATATACACCTAATTATTAAATAACATGTATAATACAGATCCAAATAGTACTTATATTACAAGTAACGGCCCATTTAAATAGTAAACTTATACATTATACCACATAAAATATAATTGAAATAAGAACCTTTATCTGGTAAATATCTCAATAAAACATTACAATTTTATGTACAATAGCATATGCTCACACCAAAAGTATGTGCATAATTTCTTTGCTATTTGATGAATTTTAAAATGTTTTAAATAGGCTGTAATTTGTCAATAAACATAACAGCCTTTTACTATTAGTGCTATGTTAGCGACTTCGATTATAACGTATAAATTGAAGTGATCACGTCACGTTATACTGATAATTATAACAAAAAATGTAATATTCGAAAGATATATTATAACGATTGCTTATAATCATCAAAAGAATCTGAATATTCAAGTAAGCATTTCATAGCCTGCGTCACTAACTAAATTTTCTTGTAATACTTCTTCATAATAATTTTAATGATAGCATTCAGTATACCCTGGTATGTGCAATGCTTTTCTTTGACATTGATTTCGTATCAAGGCATTGTAGTACATCCAGATACAGAATACAAGTATGAATTCTTTTTACACACAAATATGTGTGTATATAGTTTTCAATAGGCACCAACATACACACATATTTATATATAATATAAGTATTATTTACAATATTATCATGACATTCGATCACGCATTTGGGAATAATAATTATTATATACTAGCTATTATTTAGCCAATTCAATTATTTAGTATTAATTATTATACATAGTATAAGTGTATGGATCCTCCTCTTTGTCCGTGTTGCCTGCAGTAACACACAAAGACACAGTGTGTAGTATACCTTGTCCTACTTAACCAGTTCCTCACCATTAAAAAGAATATAATATTATATAAATTTTGCATGAGAAAAATGTTTCCATTCAATTTATTAATTTATGTTTCAAATTGCAACTAAAATATATATTTCTTAATGTTTTATCATAAAACATCAAAGTTGGAGGAGAATAAAGTATTTCAGACATATATATATCTATCAATATTTCGTTTACTTCGACACGATAGAAGTAAAAAAAAAAAAAAAAAAAAAAAAAAAGAAAAAAAAAAGAAAAAAAAAAAAGAAAAAAGAAAAAGAAAATTACTTCATCTAAATTATGATCATTTTTATTAGCAAGTCATTTTATTTGTGTAATATTTTTATGTAGTTATATGAAATTATTTTGCACAAATATCTATGTGTTATGGACTAATCTTACGATCTGATATAATTGGCCAATTTTTGTTTCACATATGGAATTTATAGGTGATATTTCTTTTGTTTATATAAAACCAACATCATATCTTGTTCAATTTATAACCATATTTGGAGAACATTACTAGGCCTTTAGCTATTCGTTGTTATAGGAATAAGTACATTTTAATTTATAAAAGAACAAGGAATAAATTAGGAAGTTAAGGAAAATTGGAAATATGGAAAATGTGACAATACTAATAGATCATTTTCTCCTTTGTTAATAATAAATCATAAACAATAGTCATGAAGTCTTAAAGGACAAGGAGGCTTAAACTCTCGTGCATAATTATAATCATAATAATAGTCTGTTATAATCAATGATGGTGTATACACAATGAATTTTATAGCTGTTAAGAATGTGGCAGATCAATAGTGTGTGTTTCATTTCCAAAAATTAATCTTAATCTTTTCATAGGTGGCGGAGGCGGATCAAGATTTAATTCGCGTTTCTTGTGCCGTCTTTCTCGATCCCGAGTTTTATGTTTCTTCCGCCGTTTACTTCTTTCCACTCCTTCAACGCGTAATACTTCGTATTCAGGTTCATAACTGTCTTCACTTAGACTAGTACCTGATTCTACAATATCATCCAAAACTGGAGAACGTTTCATACGTAATGTGAGCTTTAATCTACCACCAGTTCTTTCAGGAGTTGTAGGACAAACTCGACAATTACTAGTATCAGTCTGCCATTGACACTCGGATAACGTTGATCTTTTTTCTATACTACCATTGTTGCAAACAGTCAATCTGAAAAAATAACACTTCAATTTTTGTTTATATATAATGAATAGTAATTAAAAGTGTATATATATATTTATATATATATATATACGTATTTATATAAAATAAAAAATCTGAAATTGAAAGACATAGCTAAAAAACATACCTTTTCAAACTCTCACCAACATCAACAGAGTTTTCCCTTGATTGGCTACTGATATCTGTTTCTGTTGAATGACTCAGACTACTAGACGGAGGCCATGGCTCTTCAGGCATCAATATCGGAGGATCAGTTTTGTTATATTCGTTATTACACTGAACTTCTTGTAAATGCGACGAAACTCCAGATATATGACGATTTTCACATTTACCGCGTCGTATTATTGATGGTATACCAATATCCTCCAAGTTACTTTCTTTTTCACTAAATTCATATATATCACCCTGTATGCCTGAATCATCATCCGCTACTCCAATTTCAGAAGTCTGTGGTCTTTGCTGATCCCTCCTTTGACTCCTTGTCAGTCTACTTTTTTCTTTTTCCGTTTTAGCACAATTCTTTGCTACCACTGTATTTGCACTATCTTCCGTACGACATTGTGTAACATTTACAATATCATTGAATCGAGATTTTGGAGAACGTTTTGTACTTTTCTGACTCTTTCGTGATTTTAACGGCATGTCTGTTATCTCCTTTTGCTGATGCGTGGATCTTTTCATTGTAAAACTACAACTATCCTCAGAATTTGTATCATTAACACTCGCATTGCAGTCATTTTCTTCAATTCTACTTAAGTTTGTGCTAATTTCTTTTCCCATTAGAAGTTTAGATTCACTGTCTGTTGTACTGACTTCAGGTATTTCACAGTCTTCAGGTTTTATATCCACTTTGTTTTTAATATTTTTAAAATACATATTGCCTTTCGGATCAAGCTCATTTGTATGATCCAAAACTGCATTACAAGACATTTGAACACTTTCACAATCACTCTTTATATTGGCAGTATCTTTAACGGTATCAAGTTCACAAAATCCAACAGTAACAGAAGTATTCGTTGGATCACTCACAAGATTTTCCACCTTTTCTTTCACTCTATCACATTTATCCACTATTATTATACTTGCAGTATCCATTTTGTGACACTCATCATCAGATCTGATTTCACACGAAATAGAAGGTGTTCTACTGGTTCCTCGAAAATCAATATTCCGAGGAATTTTTCTATATATCGGTGAATTATAACAATTGAGCTCCTGAGGAAATTCATTATATACAACATTACTATCATCTTTCACCTCATCTACTAACACTGATTTGGAACATTTTGTTAACTTATTAATACAATTATTAGATATTTTTTCAGGTGTTTCACAGTGGTTGCCTTTTTCATTAACATTTTGCGTATTCGCTAAAGTGCAGCAAAAAGTGTTAGATGTATTTGTATTTTGTAAAGCTGGTTCATGATTATTTGTGGCACTTATATGATCAACATGAGGCAGGGATGTGGAACTTACTTGAACTGAATCACAGGAATTTGTACTATAATGTCTTTTTTTATAACTGAAAGTGTCAATATTACTTATAATATTTGGATCAACTTCTATCGCAAGCTTAGGTATTCCTTTCTCTTCTACGTTATCGTTACTTGTATGTCTCGTATTTCCAACAATTAATCTAACAGAACATTCTTTCTGAAAGGCAGAGGAAGTTAATTGCTTTGATGCATTGCGAATTGAATTTCGAAGATCAGATTCAAAATTCGGAGACGAAGATGATGTATTATGGACATGATGTTTCGGCACTCTCGAATACACGGTTTCTTTATTTACTATTGTTCTATCCAGTTCTTCTTTATGATCACTTGATTCTGCAGAAGTTTTTTCTATAGGTACATCCAAACAGGTAGACTCAGTTTTTTCATTATTCTTTGATCTTTTGGATTCTGTTCTCTTTTGAAGCCTGTATATAAGTGCATATAAAATCAATTTAAACATCAATTTAGTATGATAGTATTATATTTAATTTAATTGGATATTACCTGGAAGCTCTAAGACTTTGACCAGTTTTTACATTTCTTTCATTGCCATTGTTTTCACATTTATTATGTTGAACCTTGTTTCTAAGATTTCTTGTCACAGAATTAGTATTTGTATAGGGATGAGGTCGAGAAGTTTGCAAGACATTTTCTCCGTTATTTATCGATGGTTGCTGTTGAGCAATATCTGAAAATCTACAACCTTGCGCAATCAAAAGTTCCGCGTCATACTTCGTAAGTCCCTTGCGTCGCAATTCTTTCATACTAAGAGATTGCGGTGCAATAGCTGCATTGTCAACAAGGACTGCATTTTTTTCAGTTAAAGCACCATCAGCTTGTTGTTTATTTCTACCCAATGGTTGCTGTCGATGCTTTGTTCTATTGATGCGGTTATCTGTTTCTCTCAAGCGGTATCCTAAAATGTTTCAAGATTTTTATGATAAGTGATATAAGATTCTTTCAAAACACTTTGTGTTTGAACTACCAGAAGAAAGTTCTTCTCCAGGTTTCTGGCTGGCAAATGCTCCGGTTCCTCTTCTTTCGCATGTTTCACATTCGCAATAACAATTTCCATCTCCAAAGAAATCTTCTGCGTAGAAACAAGTTATTTCCTCACCTATTTCGATATCTCGTAGTACCTTGACGCACGCGGTATCTCGACCAGTAGCTACAAACTGAGAATATATAAAGAAGTATATAAATAATATATTTTATACATAGATTATTGAAAAATAAATCTCATTAAATATGACAAATATATATTTATTAACTTTGCAATTGGCTCTGCAATCATGGTTTATATATGCAGCAGGACCTAACCACAATTGTGCACAATTTTTTCTGCAACTGTACATCACTGAAAAATCATTTTTCCCTGGGTGGAGTAGTGCAGCTTCCTCCTATGAATAATAAGTTATATTATTATTTCATAATAAGTCTATTCAGAATTTGCCTAATAATTTGTCCTTAATTTGACACGCTCCAACAAACCTTTTCACTAAGTTCTGCGATACAACCAACAAGACAAGATATTTTTTCATGCTTCAACCACTTACGAGTGGCACATATCTTTGCTCCTTTTTGCTCTTCTAAACTATATCTATAACATGGTTCAATGGCAAATCCAGAATCCTTATCGAAAACTCTCAAATACCGATAAATCTATGAAAGTATGAACAATTTGTAATGTTTCTAAAATTCACATCAAGAAAGTTCTTTTTAACGTTACTTACATGTTTCTCCAAATTGATCTGCTGCTGTTTGGATTTAGTGTGTGGAAGCCTTGCCCCCCAATCCCCACCCATAAGTTTTTTATAAGCCTTTTCATAATTTTGAGTTTGAATAAATTCACAAATAATTTTGCGTAAGTCTTCTTTGTTTGCTTTGGGCGGCCTGTATCTAAAATTAAAGAAGTACATAAAATAAAAGATCCCATAGAATAAAATCAAATTAGAAAAATTAAATTGAATTAATTTTGATTAAATAATATATATATATATATATATATATATATGATGTACCTTATATTCATCTTGTGAGTGGTAAATCCTAAATATGGATCTAGCACGAGGGAAGTAGCTAGGTCATCGTTATCTGAAAGTTCTTTTGGTGTCATTCCACCTCCACCTCCACCCCCGTTATTAAGGGCATTTGATTGCATTTTTGCACTAACAGATCCACCTAGCCTTCGCTCCTGCTTCCGTGCTGCAGCTGCTGAGCCTTGGATTGACAAGCAATCTACCACCATTCTGCAATCCTGACTTTTACTGCACAAACATATGATAAAGTTATGACAGTTTGCAAGGTATATGTCACATGTTATTTCATAAAATTAAAGTTATCATTCGTAATTAGACAGAAGGACATGTTAATTGATTTCGTTCGATCAAAATTCGTTGAACGTAGACTGAACAGGGAACGTATAGAGTAAGTAGTAAATATAACGAACTCATATAAGTATTAATTAATAGTAGTTCCAGTTAAATTCAAAAGATAGGCCAATTAGAATCCGATATAGTCGAGAGAATCTTTCGTAATAAAAGAAAATAAAAGGGAAGGAATAAAAGATGATTAAAGAAGCAGGAAGAATTTTTACTTGAAAAGTCATCGCGACCGTCTTGCGAGACAGCGGTTGGAAAAAGTTTTGTATAACACAGGCGTTATCGATCGAAGCGCATACTGATTAAACCGTTTTGCATCGTCGATCGAATGAATAGAAGTAGAGCGAGTGTAAGAAAAACGCGGCCGTACGATCTTTCGTAATGTTTTTCAGTTATTTTGACAATTGTACTGAAAGGTAGGGACGAACGACGACCATGCCCTAAACGCTAATGGCGCAGGTAGAACCCGAGCGCTTTGCACGGCTCTGCCTTTTCGGAAGAGAAGCGAGCCGCAAAATGGATTGATATCCTTTGTCAGTTAATTCGTCGGATTAAGGAAAATGCAAAGATTTCGCCAAGGAGCATACTTACCACAAAGGAACGCTCCTTATAACAGTATTCACGCATTTTCCCAATGATTCTCGACTATTTTCGGGCGCCGCGAAGACGCGTTCGGATCTATCATGGCAGATCCGATCGCGACGCACACTTTCACACTTTTTTGAGTAACGATCGAATCTACAATTCGTCTAACGTTTCCTATCGTCGTTGAGTTCGAGTCTACGCGAACTCGTTCCTTCTCTTTACGAAGGTAGACCTTCGGCGAGATCCTTTAATCGAGCTGATACGAGAGAAAATCCATCTTTTTGAAGTATACGACTGTCGCGTACGTCATGCATACACATATGTGCACTCTGGAATAGGCAGAGTACGATCATCGTTTAGGGACTTTGCTCAATGGACCATCGTAATTCCGATTCCTTCTATCTTTTTCTTTTTCTTGTTCTTTCTCTCTCTCTCTCTCTCTCTTTCTCTCTCTCTCTTTCTCTCTATCTCTCTCTCTCTATCTCTCTCTCCTTTTTGCGCGCGTTCTCTCCTCTCTTTCCCTTTCTCGTTCTCCTATTTTCTTGAATATTTCATTACACGTAATTTTAACGTAAAACGTCCAAAGGATAATCTTTCGTGGACGATAACAAGATTAAAAGTGAATTTCTTGTCGCGAGGTCGGTAGCTTCGTTCTATCTAATTTAAAGGGATTTGACATGTGCTGCTACTATCGCGTGTTAAGAAAGTGTCTAGAAGCTTTTAGTGATTTATTGCTTTTTATTTGGTATTTCTGCGTTACCATAGCAACCGTACATTGGTGTTACTCTTTGCGTCTTTCTGTAACTTAGCAACATTATCAAGATATTTCGTTTAACAATAACGAGGAATAATGATATGCAATTGGTTTTGTATGTTAGATAAATACATTCTTCCTAAATCGAACATTTACATCTAAATAATCAAATCTTTCTTTTCGATGAAAATGAATAAATTGAGAGCATTTTATAAAAAATCCAATTTTGTAAATAATGAATAAAATATGTAAGAGAAAATATTTAACGAATTCTTCATTTTAATCAAATGCAAAATCTAATGTTGGATTTTATCTATATGTGATCTTATCTACTGTAGATTTTATATTAGCGATAAAGACTAAGAATCCCGCTGTTATCAAACACTGGATCCGTAGCTGGATCTTAAAGTAGTCCATAGATCTCGTAATGCGCATGCGTTTATACTTACGACCGAAGCCACAGATTGGAAGGCTCATGTCAGTCAAAGTTTCGAATGTTATTCAAGCACGTGTTTATCGTATTTGTACTTTCATTCTTATCGCGTATATAAATATAGTATTCATAAAACTTAAAAATGACGCTTAAATCCATAGAAGAAAAACAAGATTATATGAATAATTTAAAAGATGGACTCATTGATTTTGTCGCTGGTTCACTCGGTAAATTTATAATAATAAATTTCACATATCGAGTCACATTATCGTGTATTATATTTTTCTTCCTAATTCTTTCTATTAAACGATGTTAGCTTAAGAATTTTGTACAATCGTCATTTATAAAGTGACATCTCGTGACTTGCAATTTTCCCAATTTGTTTCCAAATAATCATCTCATTGATATTTTTCAATGAGACAAACAATGTTCAATAGAAACAAAGAGAACAATGTTGGACAATCAATACAATGAAAATAAGTCATGATAATAGTTTTGCAATTGAAATCTTTTATTTTTATAGGTGGAATAGCATTAGTATATGTTGGTCAACCATTGGATACAGTGAAAGTAAAAATGCAAACATTTCCATCGATATATAAAGGAATGATTAATTGCTTTGTAAAAACAGTAAAAACAGATGGAATAATAAGAGGTTTATATGCAGGAACTATGCCTGCTGTTGTAGCTAATGTAGCTGAAAATTCAGTATTATTCACTGCTTATGGTGGATGTCAGAAAGTTGTTTCTAAGATATTAGGTAAATATTTTTTCAGAACAGCTGTATCATTCATTATAAATCAATCTTGTTTTCTAATTCTATACATATAAAGGTAAAGAGAAAGTCGAGGATCTTAGTTCACTAGGCAATGCATGTGCTGGATTTTTTGCCGCGTTCTTTTCTTCGTTAACATTATGCCCAACGGAACTTATAAAGTGTAAATTACAAGCAATGCATGAAGTGCAAAGTCAAATGGATATAGCAAACAAAGTTATGGTAATGAAAAACAATCCGTATACTTTTTCATATACAGAATATGTTGTTTCGTGTTACTAAAATATTATTATGTGGATATTAATTATTATATAGACACGAATAGGACCATGGGAATTGACAAGAAATATTCTTAGAGAACAAGGTATAAGAGGTTTATTTGTGGGGCTAACATCGACCATAGTCAGAGAAATGCCAGGTTATTTTTTCTTTTTTGGTGGATATGAAGTTACAAGAGAACTCTTAGCAAAACCAAATCAAAAGAGAGATGATATTGGTTGGCAGAAAACAATGGTAGCTGGTGCTGTTGGTGGTACGGTTCTCTGGCTTGTAATTTTTCCAGCAGACGTAGTTAAAAGTAGAATACAAGTTAGTAATATATATTTTGACTTATTCAATGATTTTTTCCAACAATATTTAATAATTCTGATATTTTTTATTAATCTTACATTATAATTTATGAAGGTACAAAATCTAAAAACACCTGCCTTAGTAGTCATGAAAGATATTATAAAACAGGAAGGAATTGGGGCATTGTATAATGGTCTAAAACCGACTTTAATAAGAACAATACCAGCGACTGCAACGTTATTTATAACTTATGAATATACTAAAAAGCTAATACACAGATTTGTTAATAATTAACTTTCTTTTATATCATTCCTATTTGTTAATGTGTGTATATATATATATATGTTACTACATCAGAATATAAAAGAGAACAAATGAAGAATAATAATAATATATAGAATATACTGCTTAACTTGACCATCTCAAAATATTTCTAATGTTTTAATTGAAGTAGCATATTTCATATCATATAAGATTTAAAAAAATCTTTTTTCATTTCAGTGTCTTAGACAATTTTATGTATATATAAAATATGTATATAGTATTAAATTTCGAAAGTTTTGTGATTTACAGAAAATCTATGATCCAGAGTAATACTATTATAAATAGTAGAATCATTAGAAAATGCTGGATTGAAATTTTTAAAAATGTCAATAATGCAGATATAAGATATTATGATTTTGAAATCATATACTTTTTTTCTTTTTATTTATAACAAAGAATTAAATATATTCTATTTTAAGATTTTTACTACTTATCAATGTAGAACACTTTCTATAATTTTAGAAATCATAGGAACGATTATGTTTAAAAAAAATTATATCTTAATACATCATAGGTGTGATAGAGGGTTTATTTTATAATATGCTATATGTCTCATATATATGTGTAGAAAATAGAACATATGGAGTTCATTTGCGAAGAAATGATCGAGTTTATAGTAAATGAACATTATATTAAACAATAGGTCACATATTATAAATATAGTATTAAGTATAACATTATTAATGTAACATTAATTTTTCAATGAAATTAAGTTTCTATAAAGGTAAGATAAAAATAGAAAAAATACAGTTTATGCATTTGTTATAAGATTTTTCAGATATTTCTCTTTCTCCGTTATATTTGTATATTTCAACCAGTCATCACCTCTTATCTAAAACATAATTCACAAATTTTATTTTATATTAAAATTAACAATTTGCATCAATGTAATCATTTTCTTGAATATAATGTTAAACTTACTAGAATAGGTGTGTATCCAATATATTTCAGTTGCCTTAGTTTTGCCATTATAATACCTGTTGGTTTATTAGTTTCTCTAAGGATATGCTTATAATGTACTACGACAAGTGCTATCCATTTTACATTTTTCGGAAATGTATCATTTATTTTCTTGATGTCAACATCAGGTATTTTTGATAAAATTGATTCAGCTGAGATGAAATTTTGATTTTCATCCAGACCAAATATAATATGATTTTGTAGAAAATGAGGTAATACTCTACCAGTATACAAATTTATATCATTTACAATGATTTCCTAATAATATATTATTATATTATAGTATCATTTATACACAGTAATTTTTTCATTGAAATACAAGTGTAGGTATACCTTCAAGATATATACAACTTCATTAAATATCTTGCGTACTATGGAATTAGTGTCCTTATCCATTTTTGCCCATTGTCGCTATTAAAAATGCAAACATTATTAAAATGTAATTTATTAATATTTATTTTATTTATACACATATTCTAAGTTATATCTATATATATATATATATATATATAGATATAACTTAATAAATTTTTTAGTACATACTAACTACATATATACCTTTGTTGAAGTTAGAAGAATACCTGGTGGAAGGAATGGACCAGTATACTCAGATTTTTCTGTTTTTAGACAATATTCTAACATAGTATATTCCCAGCCAAGTATGTAGTCATTAGTTCTTAAGTTTGTATAAGATGGATCAAATGCTATTTTTATCAAATGGAGGGGATATATACCTGTACTTGCTAAATATCGTAATATATTAACATACCTCCATGTGTAGCTATAAAAGAAATATTTCAAGTAACATTATAACTTGTCTATATTTAAAACAAATTTTGAGAAATGATAAAAGTATAGTTTTAAATAGTACACTTTTAAAACGTACTTACTTAATTATCTCTGAATTATCATTAGATACACGATTAGTAATTTCCTCAATTATTTTATCATATATAGGATGTGTAGATTCAACAGAGAATGTATTTAAGGCATATGTTAATTTTTCTATGTCTTTCAATCTTGCATCCCTTATTTCATTATATATCCTAAATAATTGCATGAAAGTTTTATTACTCTTCATAAGTTAGTTTGTTTATTTAATTGATTTGTTAATTTTTTGAAGAAAAGCATATGTTTATCAATTTAATCTGTATTATACATATTTAGAATTACCTTGTTATAACTGTATCCAGTAATGACTCCACGTATATATGTGCTTTAGCATAAATATGTATTATATGAACTAAACATTGTAAAGTGAGTCTTGGAAGAATTGGTATAATGCTATCTACTAACATTTTAAAGTTAATCATTTCATCATAATTCATGCTGTATCTATTAGTGATATATACAATTATTTTATTATTATATTATTATTAATTATATGTAAAATCTTATATATATATATATATATATATATCAATAAATCATTACCGTATCAATTTTAATAAAGCTGCTAGGCTAATATTATCCACTTCGTTTATTTCACAAATTAAACGATTTATAATCGCTTTCAAAAATGTAGCATTTCTTATTTTTGTCTTACTTTTAAAAAATCCCATTGCTATTATACCCAATTCATTTATAGAAAAATCATTTAAATGTTCTTCTAAAATGACTTCTACTTCATACATATTTAATGGAGTTTTACGTTTAATATTAACAAAAAACATAAGTTGTATTAAATTTTTCGATGTTAATTGATTTAGCTTTGAATTCATTTTTCTTAATAATTTCCATATAAAATGACTATATTTACACATACCAAGACAATAAAATGTATCAGCTATTAAAAACATTTTATCAATAGGCCAATATTTATATTGTTTTTCACAATAGTTATCAAGCGATTCAATTAAAACTTTAAAGTCTTTTGTATTTTTCAAATATTTATGAAATGGTAATAAATTGATTAACACTTCTTCTAATAAATTACCTGTAAGATTGTTAATATTTTTCTTTAAAGCATTCAAGATACGTTCGTATCTTATTTCATTACAATCATGATCAGTTTTATTTATGATATTATATGACAATATCCTGAGATCAGAAACTAATTCGACGATGTGAACTGTCGACCAATCTTTGTTTAATAATTGTTCTGCTTGTTCGTCCGTAACTATTACTTCGTATTTTCTTTCTGGCACAATTGTTTTATTAAAATAAATAGAATTTTCAAGATATTGACGAGCATACTGATTTTCCGTAATTCGATTATTTTTATTTACATCATTGCAATATAAGTTTTGTTTTATGGATTGTCTTTCCTCATTATTAAATTGGTTAATCGTCCGAATATTAATAACATAATTGAATTTTGTTGTGCATCTTATCATATTATTTATTATTCCTGATTTATAGTTAATATTGCGAGATAACCTCAATACTAAATGTTCACAATTTCTATACTCTTTTTTAATAATCGCTTTTATTAAATTATTCATATTTAATAGCTAATTCATTTAATTATTTAGAATAAAAATCAAATGAATGTTCTTTTTATTTATAAAAACTTCAAATAACAACAGAATATTATCTCAGTTTCGCTCGTGCGAAATATATGAATACATACTATCAACAATGTGCTTTCTAACGAGAGAACATAGAATCATGCGCATACCAGGTTAGATTCTATATATAGGTATATATATGTTTTTGATTGAATTTTCCTTTGTTTTCTTATACAACATTAAAAATGGGGAAGTAAATATAGGTAATTAGATTGAAAATGATATAATGATACGATACTTCATTAATCTTTATTACTTGGAGGAATAAACTTTCATTATTTGTACATAAGAATATTCGTACTTTCGACACACATATATCATATGTAGATGAAAATAGAGAAATTTTGACATTTTACAGAATATAATAAATATATTTCTTTATATTTTCTTTTTATTTTTATTTCCTTGACTATATCAAATGAATATAAATGATACAATGTCTATGTTGTTGTTCTACATTATTTATTTATTTCACAAGCGAAAAATAGTAAAAATATATTCACAAAGCGGAGAAGACAAGGCGGAAGGAAATAATTCTTCTTCTTCGATATACTTCTCAAGAAAATCAGTACGTATTTTTAATTTCAAAATTTTTATATGCATATACACGAGGAAATAAATGTACACAGATTTCAATACGTAAATAAGATTAAAAGTCAATGTATGAAATATGAGCAAAAGAGTAAGGCATTTATAGAAAATTAGAATTTGTGAGATATTTGCGCGTAACACATGACATTTATTTCGCCATTCTTCAAATTAATAGTCGTTCGAGTTGGTCAGGTCTGACGGGAAGATCGCATCGATCAACGGTATTCTTAGGTTGTTGTACTTCCTTCTTCTTGATTGTTTGTCATAATCCGAACCATAGATATTGTGGATAGTATCCAGGCTGACTCCCTAAATAAAAGAGAATCATTCAAATGTCTTCGTCTAAAGATTCATCTAATAATAAGTTAAGTTTAGCAGTTAAACTTACGCTCTCGAGAAGACTTTTCCAAAATTTAGATCTTGGATTCGAGACGATATGTCGATTCGTCTCTTGTGATTTTATTTCGCCGTCCAAACAATTTCTATCCCTTTTGGATTCATCGCATTCTTTATAAAGTCCAATTGTATTCATTCGTTTTCTCAACATCTGACCTCGGCAAGTAGGATGATAGGGAAACTTTCTATAAAATAACGATGAATATTTAAATTATATTATTGTCATATAATAATTTTTTATTTTTATTACATATTAATTATTAGGAACAAATGCGTGTACGTACTCGCAATCCACATCGTCGAACCAACTGTAGTCCGACCATGCTTGAACACAGCAAACGAAGAGAGGGATAAAGATGATGCATCGTCGAAGGAAATTTTTAAACTGAAACATTCATTGTTGGATTCATGAAACATTCATTATCATTTGTTGGATAATAAATTTGAATTCATTTATTCAAAAGCATTATAATAAGAATACTACCAACTTTTATATTATATATATATATGTTTATTTTGCGTGTCTGTGTGTTATATTTTTGTCATGTTATAATTAGTGAAATTAAGAATCGTATTGATATAAGAGAAAACAAGCGTCCGATATTTTTATCTTTTCTAGGACATACGTCAATTTAAAACAAAAAAATCTCTGCTGGTCGCTTCAAATATAGTTTCTCTTGTTAGTTTCAGTAACGAGTACGACGGGAATTGACGAAAAACAGTGTTGTTTCCTTCACATAAGAGAAAAAGTATAAAAGAAAAAGAAAATAATTTGCTCCTATAACTGGATATATGTTGTCCAACATTTCTCTTGAAAATAATAGGATCTTACGATAGAAGAAGATGTTTCTATCGAGTGTCCACCACACAATTTCTCATATTTTTTCTACAATATTTGTTCGAGTTACAGCGGTGAAGTCTCAACACATGATAAGCACGCATGCACGCACGCACACACACATACACACAGCATATTCGGAATAAAAAAACGAACGAAAAGACAAAGAAATGAGGAACATATGTCCGAAGATCGTCGAAATGAATAATCTTTATTTGTTATATCGAATACTGATTCGAGGAGATCGATGTCCCTATATATTTTACAATGATTCTATCTACGTTATTTTATTCGATACTCGAATTATTATAAGAAGACATTAAAATTTTCCTCTTTACTCCTCAAAGTGGGATGGCAACTAATTGTAAATAACTATCCAAAGGATTGACGTACCGATCACGTAGTGTACACCTCATAAAAGAGTATCGCGTGATGCGTTTTTCGAATATGCGACCGATAGCTTTCTTTTCCTCGGCCCTTATCCTTGTTTATCGTTATTTGTCCTACAATAAGTACGAATATCTACTTACGAGAATACTTATTTCTTTCATCATATTCTTTGTATTTGGATTTCGCGCCTGGATTTTCGAATACTTAAAGCCTTCCAAACGACCTCATCTCTCACGAGGGAATACATAAAAATTTAATCGATTATCCGATATTCGATAGTAGGTATTTTTCTTCGATGGATAATCACGTCGATCTTTATCACTTAACAAGTAGCAATAAGCGGTAAGCAAATACGAATTTACCAAATTGTTACCTCCCCAAAGATTACTTACTCGCAGAGGGGTAAAAAAATATAGTGAGATCATAAAAGAAATTTTGCTTCGGCATCGATCGTTTTTCCCTTTTCATTTTATACTGCATTTAATAAAGTTGGAATATTCAAACAAAATCGTACATATATTTATATATAATAACGTTGAGAGAAAGAGAGAGAGAGAGAGAGAGAGAGAGAGAGAGAGAGAGAGAGAGATTTTGAAGATATTAATGCAGTCGTATTAATCATATATTCTCGTATCGTTAAATCAATAAAGTCCATTTTTATGAAATTAATCAATTTTATCTGAATGACGATTTAAAATAAGGTTTAATGTAAGTTCATTTGGATAAAATTTTCTAAGGATTTTATTGCGGAACATTAGTTTGCCTCAATCGTGGATTCGCACGTCGATTGAAATTTTATCAAAAGACCCACACACGCGTACATGTTAGAGAGAGAGAGAGAGAGAGAGAGAGAGAGAGAGAGAGAGAGAGAGAGAGAGAGAGAGAGAGAGAGAGAGAGAGAGAGAGAGAGAGAGAGAGAGAGAGAGAGAGAGAGAGAGAGAGAGAGAGAGAGAGAGAGAGAGAGAGAGAGAGAGAGAGAGAGAGAGAGAGAGAGAGAGAGAGAGAGAGAGAGAGAGAGAGAGAGAGAGAGAGAGAGTAGGTGTTTACGCGACGTCGCAGCTGACTGAATTTAGTTAATTAGCGGCAATCGAAATTGCGGAAATTATACAAATGGATTGGTGGTACAGCTCGAAAAAGGTCGGTGGTAGCCACAACAATTGCAGCGTCTCCTTTTCATAGAAGGATGTATTTTGACGATTTGCACAATTATTTATGAACGATCATCGATGTGAACGTTTATTAAAAAGCAAATTAATGGTTATTTGCATCAATATACCGAAATATTTCTAAGCGAGCTTTTGTATTGATTCAACGAAAACGATATCGAAGTTTTTCGAAAGTCATAGTAAATGGAGAGTAAATTGATGGATTTATGAAATTGTATAAAAAATGTTAGTTCTTTTGAAAAATATCACGTAAAAATATTTTGCTTATAAATACAAGTTTATTTATAAACATTTTGGGCATTAGCGTCGATATCGGTAACAATATGCTTAATGAAAAATAAATGCTATGCTCCGGAATATTGAGGAACATATCGAGTATAACGCGTTCTTTCTTGGTTACGAAATATTTACATTTTTTGAAGCATCGTACAACTACTCCGTAACATTAGTAACATTGCGTTGAGATCATTAGTCATGATCATTGACAATTCACTTTCTCTCTCTTCTCTCTTTAGATTTTTATGTCAAGCAATGTGCGTAAGGTGTCAGGATGACGATTTACGATCTAATTATGCGGCGACGTACAAGCCCTGTATAAAGTAACACTATGGGGTCACGTTATTAACAAGATTAATCAATAAATCTTTGAGCACGAAATGCGCTCAATTCGCGATACACGATAAGTTCCGTTGATCGGTCGAAACGTTCGTACTTTGATTAGATAGATTTCATATTTTATTAGTTAATCGTCTATTTGTATTTCGCGAAAATGAATTGGAGAAGCGACGATGAAATTCTTGCAATGGTCTCTATGATGAAGACTTTAATATCAATTTACAAAGCCATAATAAACTCTTAATCGAAACTTTTAGCCGATGTTTGTAGAGAAAGATGATAAACTATGTTCACAAAGCCGAAATCTATTAAAATAGATCATCGAACATTTTCGGAATCGATAGTGGTCTAGCTAAAGAAGGAATGACGCGACGTTTACCCAAGCGCGAAGGTTTTTCCGAAATCGGAGAAGTAGTGAAAAAAGATATCAAATAGATTGTAAGATGAGAGATGGTTAAACGATTAGAAAGCGAAAAAAGAGACAATAGAAGGGAAATTTTAATCGATTTTTCGCAAAAACGTTTCTATCCCCACTGACTCGTGATATCCGGTTAAAGCTCGTACAATAGATATCTTCAACGTTAACCCTGTCCATCATTTCCGTGATTCTTATATTACTGGGCTTCCTTTAGGCAAAACAAAAGATAAAACAATGATTTTGATTTTAGGAACTGCTGTCGTCACGTTTGACGAAATTTACACGAGTTCTCTTATTCCATAAGAAAATCCATAAAAAGATTTCATCATTTGGATTGATAACGAATTAACGATCTAACAAAAAGGATGATATATCGATGGTTTGGGTTTTACCCGATATTCTTCGATATGGCGAAAGAAGAAGAAAGAGAGAAAGAAGAAGACAGAGAGAGACAGTAATAACAATAGAGATAGAGATAGAGATAGAAACGTAACGTAACGCAGTTTCTCTATCGCGGATGTAGGACGTAGCGGCGACTCTCTGTCTCGTGGCATATAAAAAGATTCCTCCTTCTTCGGGCGTCCCTCTGTCGCCATTGAATCTTTTCTTTGCTTTCGCACAAAATTCTAAGGCACTTATTTTTCGATTCTATCAAGATCAATCGACGAGGTCGTGGATCTCCGATTCTTTACCTCACGTCAAGCATTTAGCCTCGTTTTCGTCTAATCTCGTCTAATATTCTAATTCATTAGCTTGATCCACGAGAGTCTTCTTAAATCACGAATCCTTTTTACCAAATTGCTTTTTTTATTCTTCCACCGTTTACTCGTGCTTTCATTGCGGTTTATCGTTTACAAGTTTTCTCCTCGGTTGATCATATTACGCGGCATAATTATAAATAAATTATCGTTGCATTTAAATACAAGTTTAAGGAGGTTATTTATTAGGTGTTTAAATAGATATTTCTGTAACAAATCCTGATAAAATTATTTCGGATCAATTTTGAATAGATTAAACTCGCAAAATGAAAGTTAATCCAATTTTCGTAAATTCGCGAATACGTAATAACGTACGATCGGACGCAGGAAAATGAAAAACTCTTCAGTTTTTCTATATTTTCGGAAGAGCAAAGTTTACTTGGCAACCGCACAAGTAGACGAAGCATCTTGGATGTAGCTATTTATCTATGTACATACTTGTTCGAATTTTCTCTTTGTATAGTGGTAATCATGAATAATAGAGAGGATTTTGCATCAAAAGTTTGTTAAAAGTGCAAAGTTTTTTATTCTAACGTTTAAGTACCTACGTTCAATGAAATTTATTCGCGAGTACTACGTTTCGAACTCTTAAATAACACTCTAATTATATTTTTGGCATGTAGATACTTTTTACAGATTTTAATACGATTCGTCATCGACCTGTATACGAGAAAATGAACGAGCAAGAGCTTAAAAAATTTTCGTAGCACATTTTCCGAAGTGAATTTTACGAGCAGTTAGACGTAGCTAATACGTTTGCGTTTTCGATTGCTTTTTCGAGATACGAAACGAAGGGTTATAAAGGATTGCGTCCGAATTTAACTTCCTCCCCGAGGAGTAATGATCTATAAACTAATAGTCGTTGAGAAAGTTGTTTAATGAATTTCAATCTGCTCTCGTTTTTTCGGCATCGAAAAGATTATTTTGTTTTTTAAAAGAATACATATAAACGCCACGATTCGTCGTTTTACGATTCAATTTTCGATATCGCAACTCGAACGAAGAAAGAATTACTTTAATTCACTTTAAAGTGAAAAAAGATGGAAGTATACATTCCAGACTGTTTTTAAAAAAGGAAAAAGAAAAAAAGAAAAAGTAAGATCGTCACTTTCTCCTGCATATCACTTTTCGATATGAGACTTAAAATTAAAGAGACTTTTTAATAATCTTCTTAAACGTAAAATACAAAACGCACTGACATAAAAGAGACGAAAGAAGAAAGAAAGAAAGAAACGGAGTCACTTTTATGATGAACTAATGATCGAGAAACAAAATGAAAGAAGAGGAAAAGAAACAAGCGGAGAGTTAAATTTTAATCCTCACCGTCGACATTTTTGCGTTGGAAATCTTCGAAGACGAATATCTTGTGGCAGATCTTCTTATTTTGAGGATTCTCTTAGTAAGAAGAAACAACCACCACGAGGTTGTCACGAGGCACGAGTTTCTGTCGAAGGTGGCGGGTTGCTGTTCACTGAATAAATAAGGAGGGGGATGTTGGTAGCGCGGAGTTTGGAGGTTAGAGGGCGAGTGATTGGTCGAGCTTGCGCGGGCTACATTTATACCGAGCGCGAAGCTCTCACCCCCTTCTTGGTTCTTCTTCCGTACCATCAAGAGATTTCTCCTACAATTCTATCCACCATTGTCGATGCTTGCACCACCACCACCACCACCACCACCAACACCACAAACCACCACCGTAGTCGTCATCGTCATCCCCACGTTTCTCCTTTTCCTTTCGGGGCGTACGCAATTCTTATTACGTCATCGAGCTTAGTCTCCACCCGATTCTATATATCTAATTTTATTACGAAATTATCACATGTTTCATGAGCTATATTTCTACATTTATTCGTAATAAAAGAAATAATACTTCACGTTTTTCGTGAGTATAGTCGTTGACTAGTCACTTAATCGTGAGACTAAGATATTAGTAATTTAAGCGTCGTGACATATTTGATCACGATAGTAGTAGATACTGACGGGCATATAAGGAGTAGCAAGAAAGTATTTTGCTTGTAGTTAAATATACAAAAACATTTAATCAAGAAGAACATAATCTTAATTCTTTTCATCGCTTTCGTCGTGCATTTTTAGGATTCTTCGGAATGAGCACCGAAGCTACAGCTAATCCATCCAGCAGCTGACCCATTAGCTGGTCCAAATTCTAAACCCGATCCAGAAGCAATAAATATAACTATTGATTAACAATTACATTAATTCGACTATCTCTTTGTTACGTGTCGGTATGTTTATTTACAAGAACATTTTGTAATTGAAATGTTTGATAAAATGTCTTTTATTTATTATTTCAGTCTATTGCATGTTTGGCTAAAAAGATATTGGATTAACTTATTGTTTATTCCTAAAGTAAATTCACGATGATATTACAGAAAATCTAACGAAACCACGAACGATGCCAGAAGAGGGAGAGAGACAAAGAGAGAGAGAGAGAGAGAGAGAGAGAGAGAGAGATAGATAGAGAGAGAAGGAGAAAGAAAGGAAAGAGAAAAAATATAGCCGGCAGACTCCGCGTCTCGACATCGAGCATCGACGTTTCTTAAATGTGCTTATGAATGAACTTTCATGAATGATGCCACGATATTTGTGGCTCCAGTTGTAGAAAACCTTCTACACAATGAAAATATCAATGACAGGAACTGGCGCAAGTCAACGAATCGTGCGAAATCAAATTGACTTGCATTTTTTTTTATTCTTAAAAAACTTCGCTTTTTTTAATTCATTTACACACCTATATGTATTTATCTACACTCCTCCACTCTCTTTTTTCGTAAAGTAAGCTTTATTAATTAATTATTAACAATAAATTCGCAAAAGCGTACGTTTATTTTAATTTATTTTTTTATTAAAAAAACATTCGATGAAGTCTCGGAGTTCGAGTTACGATTACGTACGCTCGATGAATTTACGTGGGTAGACGCATTTGAAATGTTTGAAAGAAATCAAGAGTCTAGAACTGGTGCCTTCCGAAGATCTTAATTTTAAAACGAACTTCGCAATTTATATTTATAGTTATATATATATGTATATATATATATTTGATATATATATATATATATATATATATATATATATATATATATTTGATATATCAGTACCACGGAAGAAGATACACAATGGTTATTTTTATGTCTACAACGAAGGCTCCTTCGAATATTTTAATTTTCCTTTCGCATCGCGTAAAGCACACGGAATAGAAGATAGTTGTCTCTAAAGCAATGGATGCTTTAATACAGCTCGTCATTTTTCCGAGAGCCGTAATAAATGAAGACACGAACGTATACATCGTAACTATATGTACGTATCCACGTAGAAAAACAGAAAGATAAAGAAACAAAAATGAAATAAAAGTTTGCTTCGAGAAATTAATGAAAGTGAAACCATGTGTTATTTAGAGAAAAAATAAGAAAAGTAGTTCATTCTCGAAAAAAAAAAAAACGAAAAATGAAAATTCTAGCAAGCTCTGCTATTAGAAAAGTTAAAGACGATGATACCGTTGATCGTGCATTCGAGCTATTATTTTAAGAAACAATTAACTCGTCGCGATGACGTGGAATATGCTCATTAAAAGCAACAAGCAAGACTTGACAAATATTCGTTAGACGACACGAGCTTCTTTTGTGTGGCTTTTGTATCTTTCCTTAACGTTGGACGATTTTTATCGTGATGATTTACGTTGAGAATGACTTTTCTAAATCGTACGATCTGCAATACATTTATTTACCATATTTTTTATTTGCATTAGCATATGAGTATATTCTTTTCGAATGAGAATCTAACGAGATATCAGTCGACGATAGGAAATTATCTTTTTTTTAATATAAGCAATGGGGCAATTAATTCAGGGTCCCGGATGGATTGAAAGAGACGAACAGGAAAAATAAAAGAGACAAAAGGGAAAAGTAAATGCCGAGGTGGGTTATAGGAAGAAACAGGAGCTAGACCTATTGGCGCCTTCGTACCAAAAGGATCTGCGTAATTCAGTATTTATCACCGCTACTCTCGTGTATCCTATCCTCGCTATAGCGACAGCTACGACAAAGATACGTAATAGAAATTATAAGAGGAATTTTTTAACCCTTTTAAGTGTTATTCTTCATTCGAGATGAATTCAGGAAAGATTTCTTTTATTCCACATCTCAGTAGAATCCAAATCAAACTATTTATCAAAGATATTGATACTGCTTCGAAGATCAAATTCAAAAATTAAAACGAAAGAAAGTCATTGAAAAAGAACTGCTGTTATAATTAATTTTCATGTATCATTTCGCGTCTAATTCATTACTAACGCTTCCTAAATGTAATACAGGATCATTTAATTGACTTCGCTTATGTAACAAGCGAGAAATTTACATAAATAGAAGACTTGTACAGTTTGAAGATTGCAGATTATGGAAACGATACAGCAACTACAGAGTGTTTCTCTAGCGAATTCGCATTATCCTTTGCTACACTTGTACTTTACTACTTCGTCGTGATAATTGAATTGCGTAATTACACGCACCAATCTTTATATCCTAATATCTATTGTTTTTTATTCGACATTTATATAGTATCAGAGATAAATCAAAGAAATAAATAAAACTATTCGTATGTCGATAAACATCGAGACTTTTCTTTCATAAAATTTCACTTATACGTTTATGAGGGCTTGGAAAATATAGGACAAGTTGTAGGATGTGCGTAGGTTGCTGGCGCCTGCGAGAAGGCTAACCAGATATACATTCGTGTTCTAATTATGTGCATTCGGGCTCAGAAATATCAGATTCACTGATACATTGTTTCGATCGGACGAGTATAGGCATCGTGTTTTGCAAACCATATTTTACAATCTCTGATATTTTACCTTGGCATTGTTGGTCGGAACGATTCGATTTTCTTATTAACCCTAAATTCGTGCTTCCATTGTGAGATCGTTAGCCGTAAATAGTAGATTTCGGAGGGCCGGATAAGCGGAAGGGATATATCAAGAGTCCGCAACTGTTATAAAATATTATGTACTCCGAAGATGACTATAGAACCGCATCGGTGATCTCGATTATTCTTAACGGTAGTTGGAAGCTTTAAAATTACAGTAAAATGTCCTTTTGCTCATAACATTATGCTTACTACTTGACTCGTTAACTCTTTACCTATCATTTGCGTGATAATTCTTCATATGACTCGCGACTAAGTGTTATTATCGATCTTCTCAGCGACAATGGTATTTTATATAATTTACAATGATCAAGTTAACAGACACGAAACGAATACTTAAAGAACCAGCTCATCCTAAACTCGAAACCACCGATTGGTTTCAGGTCGGTAATTAAACGTAACCTTCTCTTTTTTTACTCTATATATTTCATATTTTAGGCTTATCAGCGCAAATTTTCCTTTTCCTTGAAGGGACTAAAGCGTGAGTGTTACGTGAAAAGTTTAAAAAGATAAATTAGAAATAAAACAAACCATTCGCCTGTAGCTTTAAACTCGAACTGTCACGTATCCTTTTTATTTTTCTACCATTCCTTCCGAAATCTTCTAAAATTTGTTTCGAACTTCTCAATTTTGACAAAGAAGTGAATATTTTCTTTCACGCTCATGTGAACTTCCCTTTTTCTCTCCTCTGACAACTTTTTTTAGCAAAGTTTGACACGGACGCGGTTACGAGCTAAGTGAGGACTTTTTAAAATCTCTTTATCACCATCGTTCACTTTTAAAATTCTTTTTATTATTAGAAGATCTGATTTTGCTTCGTTTGTTCCACACGTATATACTTCTTCTACATCATTTTTCCCTAATTATTTTAAAATATGCTGACGGCAACCTAAACGTATTAATATCTCTTGTGAGAAATGACCATAAAAGACGACTATAAATGAAGCAGGATCCTTATAGGATTGTCGTCAAATGTCTGCGCCATTATCGTTTTCCTTTACGCTACATTCATCGATTATGATCGTCGTTTACAGCCTCAAACGTATTGTCCGCGTTTTCACGCATTAGACGCAAGATATCTTATCTCGTTCGTATATGATCTTATAACGTTCATTTATGCTTTTCTTACTAATCTTTGCGTTATAGTTTCAAATGTTACGCAATTTTATTATCTACATCTTTTTTTACCGTCTGTTGCATCATGCACGAATGTAAGAATTTTGCTTACCATAAGGGATCGTCATATCATTGTACAGTAGTGCGCTCTTACGTTGCTTGATCGAACCCTTTTTGAAACAAACATATGATATGGTAAATTATGCTACTCATTTCTGTATTAGATCTCTATAATAATATAGATTATCAAATTTAAACAATTTCTTTTTTATCAGTATTATCACTTATTCAGACGTTTTTAGGCGATTAATATATCTGAATGTATTTCAAGTGTGTGACAGCATGTTGAAAAAATTAATTTTTATTTGCAAAAAAAATGTTAATAAAATTTATTTATTTGCTAAAAATATCTACTAGAAAAAAAAAAGAAAATTTTTGAAAAACGAATTTATCTATATGACAAAGCGAAGAGGAAATGTGAATACTATGTATACTATCTATTGTCATAGCAAGTATTCACTGAAAGTTATATTTACATGTACGAAATAAAATGAATCGTTCAAAATAACTAAATATATCTAACACCACTTTTCTTTATTTTATCGTAAACTTTATATACCTTTCGTATAATAACAGACGGACGTAATCAAAAATCCGTCCGTTTTTTCGAATTTTTTTAATATGAAATGTCGTCTACATGTACATAAGCCTTTTACTATTCTAAGCGAACGTAGCCATGATTGTGAAAACAGCAGTAACATGGCGTACGCTTGAAACGTCAAACTAGCATTAAACTTGTAAATACATTAATGCCTTGATCGAATGTATCGTTTTTCGTCATACCAATCAATATAAAACGAATGAACAGTAATCGTCATGAATACGTAGTAAGTTTTTTAAGTAATACCTACAGATAGACAAAAAGCTTATAAAATCGTTCTATTTTCATTTCTTTTGGTTTGATTAGATCTATATCAGTAAATGAATAAAGCCATTGGAAATGCTTATGTAAATATAATACATACTCAATTTTTTTAATCAAATTATTTTCCATTACATCAAATAAAGTAAAAAATTGTTCTATGTTAAAAGTGACAGAAACAATTCAGGAATATCGGGAAATTCATTTGATCGTTGGATACAGAAGTCAAATGCACAAAATGATTCTCCGATTATTAAGATGCAACATCAATATTGGGTAACAAAACAAGCCTTATCTCGTAAATTAGGAAAAAAAGAAGATGACTGCATAGTTGCTTCGGATGCAGAATTGGATGCCAAACTTGAATTATTTCGTAGTATTCAAGAATCCTGTTCCTATTTGCAAAGAGTTATTGATAAATATCAAGAAAGATTATGCAGTAAGTATGATCCTAAATCGAATAGTGATAAGACAATAATATTTATAACTATCATATTTCTGATACTTAGATCTTGCGCAAGAAGAAAATACTATGGGTCGTTTTCTAAAAGAAGCTGGTAAACAAGATAAAACAAGAGCTGGCAAAATGATGTTAGCTGTTGGAAAATCATTGTCTTATTCTGGACAACAAAGACTTGCACTAAGAGTACCATTGGGAAGGTTATATCAAGAGGTTGAAACATTTAGGCAAAGAGCTATCGAAGATACGTTGCAAAATGTTCAGTCAATGGAAAAAGCACGGACAGAATATCGTGCTGCATTATCGTGGATGAAAAATATTTCTCAAGAATTGGATCCGGATACCTCTAAACAATTGGAGAGATTTCGAAAGGTTCAAACACGTGTCAGACAGTAAGTCTTTTTATCTATAATTAATAATAATTTGTTTGGAAATAATATGTACCATCCTATCTATAATATAGATTACCACATATATTTCTTTATTTAAAATATAGAGGGAAACTAGCGTTTGATAACTTGGCTTTGGACTGCCTACAGAAAGTAGATTTGTTAGCTGCAGCCAGATGTAATATGTTTAGCCATGCTTTAGTTTTATATCAAAGTACTCTGCTTAATTTTACTAAAAAATCTGCACAAGCTTATTCTACAATAGCGAATAGCTTCAAAGGCTATCAAAGATACGATTTTATGGTTGTAAGAGAACTTGCAGAAACCTCTTCTAAATTGGCACAGGAAACCGGGGGAGATGATGATCCTGACAATAAGGATAAGTAAGTTAAAAATTAAAAATAGGATTATTTGTAATATAAGAAATTTTTTTACTAATAAAATAATACATATCCTTTTTATTTCAGATTATTATTTTTTGAAACGGATTATCATGATAATGTTGAGGAAGCTGAAGAGGTAAAACCAATTACAGAATGTATAGACAAACAAAATGAGAAACTCTTAGATATCGAATCTGACCCAAAAGACATATTGGAGTCAAAAGATTTAAATACTAGTCCAAGTTCAACCAAAAATGGAATAGTAGAACATCTTAATAGTGAACATAACAAAGAACTCGATCAATTTTTTGGAGATCTGAATCTTGAAATAAATAAATCTATAAATGATAACAAACAAAAAATAGACAAAATAAATATGAAAACTCATTTAGATATAGATAAAAGTTTGTCAGAACTGGATTTGGCAATGGATGTATTTGATATTTGCGATACAGGTTTTAACTTAACAGATCTCTCTTCTACAGTATCAGAAAACCAAAGTAGTCAACCACTACAATTATTGACTTCAGAAAATTCTGCACTTTTAAGTGATATCATCAATGACAAAGATGAATGTAGTAACTCAAATGAGTGGGATGCTATATTAAATGATACCTTTTTGCCACCAAATATATTAAAACAAAGTTTAGGTGATGCAACACTTGGTGTTGGACAAAAGGATATGCAACTTACAAATACAGATGATAAGGTCATTTTTTACATTAAGATACCCAAAGTACTTTCCATGTTTACATATATGACATTTGATTAATGGTACATGTATTTATTGCAGAAAAAAAATAGGATTGGAAAGGGCAAAGGTAATTCATGGTTAGATTTATTTGCAGAACTCGATCCACTAGCTAATAATCCAATGGAAAGCTTAGGTAGTGATGGGGATGCACCTGTGTAACTTTTATGACGTCGATATGGTATTGTCACAACATGATTAGTTGCATCTGATAAACAGGACGAAGAATGATCCTTTATGTTTCATTATGCATACTAAGTGTTGATGAAACGTTCATCTGTTATCAACATTAAGTGATTGCATAAATATATACCTGCATTTAAGCTATTCAAAATAATTAAAAATATAATTAAATTTATATATTTTAAGAATATGGTTTTAACATAACCATGATAAAGAGATATATTTCCATTTCATAAATTTTTCATACAAGCTCTCTACCAAAGATAATACAAGCTCCAAACATGTATTAAGATCTACCAGTCAAATATTTATTTAAAATATATGAAAAAAAATTTTGTTCTCACGATAATAAAATGTATTATTTGATTACTATATAAAGATTATAGTACAATTTGCCAGAAGATGCACTGAAACATCGAATGTATATAAGCACTCTCATATTCTCTTGTATTTGTAATGTTTCTAAATGTTTGATTTTTCTTATTGCAATCGAGAACTCGAATTAAAAACTTTTGTTTATAAGGTACTCAGAAGGTACCAAGCAGCATTCATACCCTCTCTCCTATATACGTAAGGTATATGTTCATTCTTAGATTATTCTTTAAGATAATTCTTTTTCTTTAAATAAAATAAATATAATGTAAATAAGCTACAAGCTCAGGCTTAGAAATATTATTTTCACCTTATTTCAGTAGGTTTAAGATGCTTATGTATTAACAAAAGCACAAGATCACAGTATTAATTCTACATCAAATAATATCATTCAAATAAAAAATTCACAAATTTAAAATCTAACCTTCGTCATTAACATGATCAATGTTCATGCATCGTAGAATTGTGCCATGGCAGTTTTTACTCTGGAATAAAAATGATAATAATGTGTGTGTGTGTGTGTGTTCATATATATATATATATATATATATATATATATATATATATATATATATATATATAAATATAAATATAAAATATATATATATATATATATATATATATATATATATATATACACACACATATATTGCATGTTCTGTTTTTATATATGTGTGTAATGATTTTTAATATAGAAAAAATGAAAAATAAATAGCAACATACTTATCAAATAGTTGAGAATCTTTCGTGTGACGTAATTGTTGAAGAATACGATAAAGGCCTAATTCTTTTAAACGTGCTTGACGTTGTGCTGCTCCAGGTTCTTCTCTCCACACTAAATTGCATACGCAAAAAATTGCTGCAACTTGTAGCTTCACATTGCTATGCATCTACGATAACAATGAAATACATAATAGAAAACTTGGTAATATATATATATATATATATATAGTTATTTACAATCAATATTAATTAGTCTTTCTTAATGTCCACAAAACGATTAATGTCGTTTACCATATAATCCATTAGCTTCTTTAAAACATCCTCATTAGCCATAATATGATCTCTGGCGCGATCACCATCGGCTACATTTGCCAAAATACAGAGAGCTTGTTCCTTTACATCCGCTGGGTGTTCTGGATCTTCTAATACTAATATAACTGCTTGCATAAAATGAGCTGCATGTTCACCCATTATACGATCTATGTGTGCTTTTGTAGAAAGCAAATTTCGTAACAAACCAAGGGTTTTCATTAAAACTGCTAATTCTGGATCAGCCAAAAGACGAAAGATTTGGTCAGTGCCTAAGCAAGATAATATTTGTGACTTCACACGTTGTTCCGCTTGAAAAGCAACATTCATTAAAGCCCAAATGCCATTTAGTCGTAATGCTGGATCAGGTCGTTTGGTAAGAGAACACAATAGTTCTACTCCACCAGATTCAAGAATTGGTTCTTTACTTGGACTGAATTCTAATAATAAATTACACAAAGTGCTTGAGGCAACGGTCAATAAATCATCTTCACTTTCTGTTCTACCTATGAAGAAATGATAACAAAATCATATTGGATCAGTAAATTGTATCTATTGTATATTTATTTACCATTACCAACAATAATATGATACCTTCCAACCCTTTATCTGCACCATGAAGTAATTGCATAAGGGGCCTCCAAACTGCATGATCTTGAAACGTTGTACGAAGTTGTTGTACACTTCTAGAAAGAGAATGTAAACATCTAACTGCAGCTAAACGAACTCGAGGACCGCCAGGATCTTGTAAACCAGAAACAACTTGTTCCATTAAACTTTCTGTTTCAATGATGCGCTTTCGAATGTCTTCATCATTAGCACCAAGAGAAGCAAAAGCTCTAAATGCAGCTTGGCGCATATCTTGTGTTAATGTCGCATCTTGTACCTATAAATAAAAATAATAAAATAAATTTTGTATAATATCCTTAAATAAAGTAACTGAATTCATAAATTTTTGAATACTGATATTAACAAAATATTTAAACTTTACCTGTGAATGTGGTCTCAATAATTCGGCTAATGTTGGAATAAGGTGATTACTAATAGAAGCTAAACGTTGCAAATCAGTATCAACTTCTGTAAGATAAGCTAATGTTTCTGCTGCGGCTATTCTTTCTCGTGGTGGCCGATCTCTATGACAAAGTCTCACAAGACAAGGTAAAGCACGATATACGACTCTCGGATCTGTAGACGGTAATGCACCAGCTCTATGCATATATGCTATACATCTTGCAGCTTCCAGTTGGACTAATGAACTTCTCTCACGTCCCATCAATTGTCCTAACGCTACGGGCACAAGTTTACCTCTAAGAGTATTACTTGTTGTTGCTGCAGCAACCATAGCAGACACCATATGATTTTGATAGCACATATTTGCAAGACAAGCCAATGCAGGCAATTGTACATCAGCTAATGGCGAATCGAGTTGCATTGCTAATGTTTCAACCGCTCCTCCTTTAGAGAGGGCATTTTGTTCCTCCGCAGTCTAGCAATAAAATAAATTAATTTCTTTTCATTTATAGAAAAATTAAAAGCTCAAACACATCATGTATTCATACCTTACATGCCGTTGTTAAGATGGTTGCTACACAAACTTGACAAGTAACAGATCTGCTTGCTAATGATAATAAACGTGGCACCAAAGCAGGATCTTGGTATATAGAATGAACAGGTGCTGCGGTGTGTTGGAACACAGTACGTAAGCAACGCAAACATGCTTCATTTAATAAATCTAAAATTTTTCCTTTTCCTTCTGCATTGGTATCAGAGATAGGCATAGAAAGCAAAACTTGAAGAAGTAATGGTACCACACCCAGATCAATAAGAGCTAAGACATGTTGATCAGTACCCTTAGCCAAAGAACCTAATGTTACAGCTGATTCTAGCTGTATACGCTCTGAGAGTGGACCAGATGTATTACCAAGTAATTGTAATAATCGAGGTACTACACCTTGTGCTATCACTGAACCTTTTTGTCTATTGCTTCCAATTACAGAATTTTTAAGGCATCTAAAATAAAAAATCCAGTATTATTTCAATTTCTATATATAAAGGATTATATATATATGTATATATATATATATATATATATATATATATTATAAGCAAGTATCATATAGATAATTGAGACATATATTAAACAAATATGTTAAGTTTATTTTCATCACAACAATAATAGCACTTAATTCGAAATAAAAATATTTACGATTTATTTAAATAATAAAATTTTATATAAATCACTTATATAATTAACAACTAATTCATGACTTCTTAGTGACTAACGTTGGTACATATCTTCTAAAAATGATATTTGTGCATAATCGGAATTAGAGGTTAAGTCTCACGCTCACTCACATAATTGCTTGTAAACATTTATGAGGATCCGGCGAATACAGCTCATCGATGTAGCTCCTTGAACTTTCAACATCCTATGGATATAATAAAAAAGTAATTTTTTTAATTCACTGTCATTAACTATACTTACACGATATTAATACCGAAACTAAAAGCAAAACCGGTGCAAACTTAAATCTAATCTCGTCAACTCACCATGAATGGCTGCATCACCGAAACCATGCTTTCTCTCTTTATTTCTACATAAGTATTATTAAATCTTTTATTCGTATTATTCTTGGTACGATCATTCACCACGAGGAACAATCGATGCCAGTTTCCTTATTACGTGAATATTCGGAATTTTTACACTCAAGCCGAGGAATGAGGATAAACTACGTTCTGATATTGTATCAAATTTTGTCACAGTTTTGCCAACTATAGGAATTATTTCGATCCAATGAAAATTTTTCTCCTTTGCCTTTGCCGATAGGTGCATTAATATTGTTATCATTGTATAAAAACGATAGCATCCAATGTATAAATTGTTTGGATAGCACGTCAAAGATAAAAAATTGTGTTTTATAAATGTTGTCTTTTTTTACCAATTCGATATCAAACAGAAATATAAATTTCGTAGAATTTTAGGAAAAATATTATGCAACAATATTTCTATATAATTGTTATCATTGTTCAAAAATATTCCCTAGGTTTATATCGTCTATTCGTTCATAACGACTGATTTTATAATCAGTTCACAATTTTATCGATAGTTGGCGGTCCTATCGAATTGCAATGGCAAATCTGACGTTTTAAAATACCGAATTTTTCTTCTATCTTCTCTTAGAATTTGCAATTTTTATTGACACGAGACAGTGACATAAACAGCATAAAATCAATGGGTATATTCGTGTACATAATATTTTTATTCTTCTATCGTCACTTACTTAATAAGGTTTATTAGATTTTGGACATTCTATTCTCATCTTTAGATAGAATCTCCCGATTTATATAATTTTTTATTTAACAACACAATATTTAAAACGTTTATCATTTTAGAATTTGAAGTCAAGAAAAGATAAAATTTGTAGTAGATCTTCTTTCAGTGATGACTGATTTTTGTTAAAAATTTCAAGACGACAGTCCATCTATTTAAACTATACCTTCTCAAATAAGAAGAAAATGAAAAGAATTACATACATTTTAATTTATGATAATTAAATAATTTATATCAAAGTATAACATACTAAAATAATTCTATTATGATTAATGATTAACTTCTCTGCCAAATATCTATATAAAAATAACAACATTTTCCAATTATCTATTGTTAATTTATATCAATGTGCTTCTGGCGATTGCGAAAAGAGTACTACAAGAACCCAGAATTGAAGTAATGCCTAAAAAATGTAAAAAGTAATTAATAGATATTTACACAATAAGCAATAATAGGATTTTAATTGATTAGAATAAAATTTGCTATATACTCACCATATAAATTAGTACCAAAATTCTTGCAAGTGGATATCGTCTCAAAAAGACCCCTGTACGAATACTGATAGCATCCAACGAAGAATAAGCTCTCTTCACTCGTCTGGTGACACCGGTATCAAATGGTGTTTCCATTAAAAAGACAGGAACTTGAGTTTTTACATCATCATTATCGTTTGTATTATTGTATGCTACATTTCTATTGGAATTTCCCATAATAGTTCTAAACTCGAGCTAATAACAAAATATATTATTATAATTTAAATTAATTAATAAATAAAATTGTATATTCTATTAAATTTACCTCTAACTTTTCAAACTGAAGACGCAACGCATTACGTTCTGTAGTTATGTTCTCTAGAGCTTGTTGCTTATGAACTAAAGTTTGAGTAAGAGCGGCTAATCTAGATTCTACTTCACTATTTGGTGTGGATGTTGCAGATAACTGCAAACGGAGTCTAGATATTTCTGTATCTTGTTTTTGTATTTGTATAGTATAATTATTTTGTTGACGAATTATTTCATCTTTTAGTGACCTTATCTCCTAAAATAAATGATTCTTATTTTTGTTAATTAAAAAATCTGCAATCATATATTATATACTACCTCTGAGTGTAATCTTGCAATTTCTTCTGCATCTTGTCTTCTTTGTCTTTCACTTGCAAGACTTTCTTGAGATTTTAAATTTACTTCATTATATCTTTGCCTCATCTTTTCTAAATTAAGATCAGTATTGTTTAATTCATCACGTACTGTTCTTAATTGTTCATGAGTTTGTTGATTTTCTTCTCTGAGGAGATCACGTTCTTGCCTATAATATAATGTATATATTTATTTATTTATATATTATGTATATAACAACTTTTATTTTAAGATTCAATATATTTAATATTTATTTTAAGATTGCTTAATTAATTTTGAACAATTAATTATTTAGTAATATAGTTTTATAATTATTACCTCAATTGTTTTAATTCTACAAGTGTAGCATCATCTATGCCTGTGAATTCATTACGCCTTAACTCTGCTATTAACTTTTCTTTGTCTTGTAATATTCTAAAAGCTCTTGCTTTATGTTGTTCTAATTCGGATCTAGTGGAAAGTAATTCTAATCTACTTCTACTAAGAACAGTTTGTAAATCTGTCATCTGTTTTAACATTTGCATGTTTGTAGTTCTTAAGGACTGCAATTTATTATTTAACACTACAATTTGTTTTTGATGATCTGTTAAAGTTTCAGATGAAGATTTTAATAAAGAATCAGGTGAAATCATTAATTCATCTGTATCTAATGATTGTAATTTTGAATCATATGAATATTTTGGCTCGACTACTTCCACAGCATGATCTAGATATAAATTAAAGAAAGGAAATGAGTTTTAACAATTTTTTGCAACAAAATTGAAATTATAATTAAGAATTAAATATAATTACCATCATCTGTTCCCCTTTGTATCATTTGTGAATCAAAAGCATTATCTTGATATCTATGTATTTGATTTCTTAAATGTATATTTCTAATCTGTAGATCATTTTCAAAACTATAATTTTCATTATCAATTGTATTTATAGTAGTACATGAACTTTCTTGATTTGGTTCATTATTCTGAATCGATAATTGCAATATGGAATCTATATTATCTGTAGATCGTTCCATTAATAACGAAGGTATTGGCGATGACAGTCCAGATTCTACTGCCGTTTTTGTCACACTTTTTGATGATGTATTCAGATACTCCAGAAGATTTTCTTCGTGTGTAAACTGTTTTGGAGTTTCCAAGGAAGATTTTGTAATAATACTATTATCGTAGCTGAAATAAGCGTAAATACGTAAATTTTACACAAAAAACTCTTGGTACTGTATAAAATTAATATCTAAGTTTTTAAGTCTAAATATACAACACTTTATTACAAAAATAACATTAATATTTACCGCTTCCAATAATCACTGTTCAAGACAGTTGCACTATTTTTATCTATCTTATTCAATAGATCTTCTACTTTATCTGTAATATCTGACAGCCAAGCCATTTGGACACATACACACACCTATGTGCTATGACGTTTTTACTATAATTCTTTACTAATAAAAATACTTTTAAAAATTTTATGAACAAATCTTTAATTTCCAATTTTTTATTTTAATTCATTACTTTAATACTTGCATTAAAAAAGTGATTTGAAAAATAAACAAGTTGATAAACTAAGACTGCATTCGTTTCTTACCGCAAATATTACAACTGATGACGACTACAGATTAGTACCGAAAAGTACCAAAATACATACTCGCAAATGCTCGCAACTCGTTCAGGGTTAAAGCTGGTTTCATCTACATTTCCGATATACCGCAGGTGAATGCAATCATCCTTAGAAGTACAACCATAAAGCTTATACTCATGTATAGAATGATTGTGTCTATGAAAATATGGGACGGCTCATTAAAAGAGGATTGGAGGATTAAGAAAAATTAATATCTATTATTCTGATTGGACCAAACTGAAATAAGCACTTTTCTTTGATTATACAATTCTAAAAGGTATTATTGAAATCGATAATTTTGTTTTTATGTATATATGATATTTTATTTTATTTTAATAAAAAAATCTTTGCTATGTTTTAACAATTTTTAGAGCTATAATTATTTTAGATCTTGAATTTTATTTTATTGGAAATCTGACCTTTTTTCAGTAAACATTCATTGGAAATACTTCTACTCGTCATAATTTTTCGTTTTACAATTTATATTTTAAAAATATAAATAAAAAAATAAATTTAAAAAATAACGATGAATAAAAGTGTTATGGTTATATAAACAAGTAGAATAAAAGAAAAGAAATAACATGACATGGAAAGAGAAATTTGAACAACTGTATTGGAGATTTTATTAGCTCATCAAAATTTAATAATTATGCTGTTTAATTAATAAAGACATTGTTTTTTATACATTTGTAATATGCTCATTGTCTATTTTAGAATGACTCATACTAATCTTTCTATTCATTCATACAGACATAATGGATTTTATTCATATTTATAATATTTATAATAATCCCTTATGCTTTTGAAGCAAGTGCTTCAAGATCTTTGATGCACTGTTGAAGAGTTGCTTTTTCTTGTTCTGGTGTAATTGCTTTTAATACGCTGTTTATAATCCACTGTACCATATGTTTTTGAGCTATTCTTCGTTCTATTATCTGTATTTGAGCATTATAGTCTAAACGATTCTTTACCTGAAAACACAAAATTAATATATATTTATATGTAAAAATAAATATAACAAAAATAATATATATTTAGTGCGTGTGTACACACACATATATATATATATATATATATATATATATATATATATGTGTATGAAGTGTTCCCTTTATATCTTATGAAATAATAATGTATGAACTACATTTAAATATATTTTTATAATATATGACAAAAATAAAAATGATATACATTATTATAAACTTGAGCAAGACGCTCCCTATATACAGCCTCCAATTGTACTTTTACATTCTCTTTCTTAGCTTCTATAAGGAGGCTTTGCCCTTCGGCTCTCCATACTGCTTCATTTATATTTTTTATCTGTTCATTAGCAAAGTCAATTTGTTGCTTTCTATTGTCTTCCCATTGTTCAATTTCAGCATTTTGTTCTTTTTCCAGATATTTAGATAGAGGAGGCCCCAATTTTTTAACCAAAATTATCCATATAATCACAAATGAAATAGCATTATAAAATTCATGTTCCAAGACATATATTTCTTTGGAAATTAAATATGTTGCTACACTAGTAGCAAACATATAAGGTCCTAAAAATAGAAAATTTTATGTAAAAAATAATTGTTTATATATATATTCAATTAATTATAATTAAAATAAAAAATATATAACGGCTATTATTATCAGTAAAGAAATACAGTTAAAAGTTACTATTTGTTATAGATTACCTGTTACTCCAGTTTTTGAATAAAAGAAAGTAAACCATTCATCAGGAATAAATCCAAATCTGACAGGAGGTGGATCTACTAGACGTGTAGGTCGAGGGCCATTCGACATTGCAACCGCCTGTACACCACGAATAGCTACTGGTAATATTTGAGCTAAACACATTAAAATATATCACTTTTATAGGATTTTATCGCAAAACAGATATCAATCAATAATCTATTATTTTGTGCTATACTACCACAAATGAGTCCATCTCTAGGCCTATAGTAGAGGTTTAAAAAATATATCTAATATTAATTTAAATCGATTCGATTAATTTAAACTTAATTTATTTAAATATCGAAAAAATTGAAAAATATATTATTATATAATAGAAATGAAATAAACGGTAACTACATATCCAAATTATGGTAATGGATACGATATAATGTATCGCACTAATATCAAAAATGAGTTTATTATTGTTGTATATTGAAAAACTATAATTTCATCTTAAATATAAATATCAATTACCATTACGAAGGGCAAGTCTCGACAACATTTTGGAACTACTTTCTTCTGTCGTTACTTCCACGGATCTTCGTAGTATGAAACCTCGAACAATCCGAGATTTCCCGAAATTGTACGAGACTGCCCGAAACCATCCGAGACTAACCTCTTTAACCCAAGCGATAACAGGCAGTAAGTAATAGTTAGTTGCTAATTTATTGGTATATTTCTGCTCGTTCATTGGTTACTTCAATTTTTGAACGATGGAATCAGATGAAAGAATTTTGTTAGATAATGGTCTCTAACGTGTTCAAAAAAAATATGTATCAATTATTATTTTATGTAAGTTTGAATGAGAATATTAAAATTAAATATATTTATTAAAATGCATAAAAGTCATAAGAAGTATAGTATATATATATACTTTTAATCTAGTAATATATATTTATACTAATCATATAAATACACACACACGATCGTTTAGAAATTTACTTGAGAATTATTTCAATTGGTAAGTTTCTTTGCAACACACATACATCATTGTATTATGTTTACAATAAATTATAATTATAATGGCCTGAATTTTGTTCCATTGTAAGAGTAATAATATAATAAAATGTACAAAGAAGAAATGTAAATATGAATTAAATATAAAATTTCCGAAGATGTGCGATAAAAATTTGTATTTGACGAACTGTAGATACGCTCCTGATGGGCAGTTTGCAACTGCGTATTCAAGCTAACTACTTCACGTAATCAAATTTAAACAACGTCATTAAAAAGACGTTCAGGTACTCTGTCGAATTTTTATCTATTATTACAGCTCTTAATTTTGGGAAGAATCGTAAAGAAGCGTATTACATATAATTATCGATGTTACAGGAAAGAAGCAACTGTCTTGAGCAGCGCTTTCTCTCCTTGCTCCCCCCCTCCCTCTCTAACTCTCCTCTATCCCTCTTTTCCTCTCATACATTCACTGTTTCTCTCTCTTTCTTTCTTACTCTCCTTGTTCGTGACGCATCGTATCCCCGCAACATCGGTTCACAGTTACTTCGTGCTGCTTCTAGGTTTAAGCGAAAGGGAAAATGTCGACGGGCTGGTGGGGTACGTCGTACCAGCAGTGATTTTTCCTACTATATTCCGACGTTCACCACGGAATAAAGGAAATTTCGTATCCTAAACGCCTTCGTGGCACATTGAAATCGTCAAGACGTCACTAGATATCTTCAGGCGTAAGCTAAAAAGCTCTGATCTAAGAAAAGAGATATTCCAACGGTAGTTTAGGATCGAGTGAGACTGCCTGCTACTTTTCCCTTTTGCTAGGACCGTGCGCAGGGAGAACAGGAAAGCGTCGTCGAACTAAAGAAGCGTAAAGAAGCCACGGGTGACATGGCGTCGGCGGTGACGCTGGTAATGGGAAAGAGCGATTTTATTGTGGCTGGCAAGTATCGGTTGTTAAGGAAAATCGGTTCGGGTTCCTTTGGCGATATTTATCTTGGTATCAACATCGCTAATGGCGAGGTAAGAAAGACCATTTAATTTGTGACGATCTGTCATCGCATACATTATTCTTTTACTTTATTTCTTTTTTCTTTTCCTTTTTTATTATTTTATTCGCTAATATTTTTTTATTTTTTCTTACTTTCGATATCGTTCTTATTTTTTTGCTTTTTCCTTTTTTTTCTTTTTTTTCTTTTCTTTAAATTTCATAATGTAGATGATCAAATTTGTCGATAAATTATGTCGACATCATCGGTTTTTTGTGATTGTTCAGTAATGTCCGATCAACTCTCATATCTCTAGTTAAATAAAAAAAATATAAAATAGATTAATGAGATTGATCTAATAGAATAGTGTATACATATATCTGTAAAATATTTATCATAACCTTAATATTTCGTGAATTACTTTTTTGGACAATGAAATGTCATTCTGAAATTGTGTAATATACAAATGATCTTATAGAGTACCTTAAAATTTATGTGTACACATGACACAAAAAATTGCAATTTATATAATGTACTAAAAGCAAAAAGAATGGAGTACACTGAGATGGTATTTCAAAAATAATAATTAAATTCTATAAATCATACCAAATATTGAAGTAGTTGTAATGATAAATCAAATTAAAATCTATAATCATTTAAAAATATATTTAGCTTTAAAGTATTATTTTATCGATACTTAACTCTATCAAGAAAGTTTCAAATATACTGTTAAAAGATTATCAGTATAATACATCTTTAATTGAATTTTTTTTAGATGAATAAGTTGTTTTGTTTTTATCATTAAATATATTAATATATTCTTTATAGTTTCAGGAGAAATATAGTTACAAGTAGTTTATTATCTCCAGAAGTATTTTATTTGCTTTGTGTATAATTTTATTGATTGTTTAATAATTTAAAAACTCTCGTAGATGCAAAGTATCTATTTTTTATTAATTTGATGAAGTTATACATTTTTTCTTTGACATAAATATGTCATTAATTTATACATGCTATATTTATTAATCTAAGTATTAAGGTATCTTATTACAAACAATAAAAATTCGACAAGCATTGATATGTGCAATTTTTTGTCCGATATAATCAAATAGTGACCATAAATGTTATTAACTCTCTCAAACGTTCTTAAGGTCTTAAAAGTTATAAACCACAAATGTGGTACCAATGTTTTATGAATGGAAGTTTTTTTTAAATAGTCGTTTTATATAGTTTTAATAGTTATATAGAATAATATATGTTGAGCCATTGACTTGTTTCGTAAAAAGAAATATAATTTTAAGATCAGAAGTTAGGTAATCATGACAACATTGTATAATATTTACAGCATTGATAAAATAATGAGAGTAAAAAAAAATAATGAATGAAAAACAAAAAACTACAATAAATAAGTAGAACAATTGAAAACAATAATTATTTTACTTTCATATGTTTTCCAATAAACGGTGATGAATTAATTCAAAGAAGAATTAATCATGAATGAAATATGTAGATACGTATTTTTTCCATGTTTCATAATATCTGTTCTATTTTAATAGGATGTAATTAGTTTAAACTATGGATAACTTGTATTTTTATATCTTATTCGAAACGTCCGTTAATCTTTTCTTTTGGCAATATTTATTTTGGTATTATATTTTTACTTGGTATTATAATTGAATCTACATATATTAAGTTTTAACGAAATTCGTATAAATTTAATGTTACGAATAGATACGTTATAGAAGTTAATTTTACGTTGTAATATTTTTAATAGACATAAAAATAAATATTTTCAAACAATACAAAAAAAGATGATTAAGTTAATGATAGAGATACACTTGTTTCTTTTTAAAAATTAAACCAAAAAATTATAAGACTAGTTATCGTATAACAATTAGAACGGATTCGTAGAAATATATTTTTTCGATTGATTTAACCTATTCGTAAGAAGTGTTAAGTTGTCATACAAAATAAATCAAAAAGATAATAAAGTTGGAAAAAGAGATTTTTTTGAAAAATTTAATTTATATAGTTACTTTACTTCAAAATCACTTCTATAATTTGCTATAAAGTGAAATCATTAAAAAAAAAAAAAAAAAAAAAAAAAAAAAAAAAAAAAAATCATATGTATAACTCAATAATACACACACACACGCGTGCGCGCGCTCTGCTCTTCAATGTGAATACTAATGTTTAATGTACATTTATTTATTAATTTCTCTTATATATTATCATTATATTTTATATAAACTATTAAGATACGTAAAATTTAGTAGCGATTCCTATCTAGATTACTATTCGACGAATCGTCGAGTCAAATATCTTCGGTGGACAAAGAAAGCAAACTATTCTTTCAGGGTAAAAGTAGTTCGTAAATATAGATTTGGATATATCAGGTGCTTCTTTCTTAAGTTACGATTGTTTTTTCTCAGAAAAAGAGTTAATTTGAAATGTGAAACAAACTTATTCGGAAGTACAAGATTTTATAATATTTTTACCTTCAAGACTACTATTTATTTTCACTTTCAACTTTCTGTAATAATTTTAGTATTAATTAGAAAACTATGATACAGATTTAGGAAAGAAAAATTTCACACCACGTTAAGTTAATCTTTCTCTATTATCGTTTCTCTTTTTGGTGATATTTACAGTAACAAGAATTATATTAGGACACAATGTATTTTATTTAAGTTTCTTGTAGTCCAAATAAAAAATTGTTCCTTTAAATGCTTCTATACGAAATTGAAAACTAAAAGTTAATTGAATAATTAAATATGATATCTTAATATAATATTGGCCTTTTTATTTTTAATATTGAATGGTTATTATTTCTTATTAGTTATACGTCGTCAATTTTAGTCTAAACAATTAAAAAAATACAAAAGTATAAAGAAGAATTCTATAACGACGTGTTGCACTTTATAACATTGTACAATATTTAGGTAATTAAAAAAGGTAACTGCGGAGTATATTACGAGAAATAACATATTTAGTCGCTATTTTGTTAAATCTTCAATATTTTACACATTTTTTAGAAATTGTATTTTTGTTTTCTTTATTTTGTTTTTTCTTGTTTTTTTTCTTTTTTCTTTTCTAGGAAGTTGCAGTCAAATTGGAGAACGTGCGTGCCCGCCATCCACAATTGCTATATGAGTCCAAATTATATAAAATATTGCATGGTGGCATAGGAATACCGCATATACGTTGGTAAGAGAATTACATTTATATATTGTCATTAAATAAACTTAATGTATCGAAAATTTAAAAGGTTTAATGGATCGATAAGATTGATAAAATAAATACGAGAAAAAGTTTCTTTTGATCAATAGGTATGGAACCGAACGCGAATACAATGTCCTTGTTATGGATCTCTTGGGACCATCCCTTGAAGATCTTTTTACTTTTTGTTCGCGAAGGTTTACAATTAAAACAGTTTTAATGTTGGCGGACCAGATGATTGGCAGAATCGAATTTGTCCATTGTAAACACTTTATTCACAGAGACATAAAGCCGGATAATTTTTTAATGGGCATCGGGCGTCATTGTAATAAGGTAACATATTCTCAAATCATGTGGACACTTTGATAGATTTTGGTAGATAGGTGAAAAAATAAAATATATTTTTTTTTTATTTGAAATATTTTATTCTGGACAAGTCGAATAAAAAATATGAGAGCTTTTTGTAAAATCTATTTCAGCTATTTCTCATAGATTTTGGACTAGCCAAAAAATATAGAGATAGCCAGTCGAGAATGCATATAGTCTATCGAGAAGATAAAAATTTAACAGGCACAGCAAGGTATGCATCTATCAACGCTCATTTAGGCATTGAACAAAGTCGTCGAGATGATATGGAATCACTTGGATATGTACTTATGTACTTTAATCGAGGATCATTGCCTTGGCAAGGTCTCAAAGCTGCAACTAAAAAACAGAAGTACGAAAAAATCAGTGAAAAGAAAATGTCCACGCCTGTAGAAGTTTTATGCAAGGCAGGTTTTGGATTTTATTGATGACAAAATACTCTTTTTTTTCGTACGATTAAAAAGTACAACTAAATTGATTTTTAACTAATAGGGATTTGCTGCCGAATTTGCAATGTATCTAAATTATACACGAGGATTACGCTTCGAAGAGAGCCCAGATTATATGTATCTACGTCAACTTTTCCGTATACTTTTCCGTACGTTAAATCATCAATACGACTATACATTTGACTGGACAATGTTAAAGCAGAAAGTAGCAACCTCCAGCCTCAATGTCAATGGCGGAACATCTGGAGGTACACACGGTCGAGTTCTTGAAGGCATTCAAGCACAAGTACAATCTGCGATTCAGCCACCTGCTAAAACTAACGCTCAAACAGGTATCAATCAATGTTCACGTTTTAATGCACTTTTAAATACGACAATATATAACGATTATGCAATCACTGAACGAATTATCATAGGAGCACGTTAAAGCTGTGGAATTTTACTATCATCAACCCCAATTATGATCAGAGGTATCTCAATCAAGGTGCACAACTTGATCTAAATTTTTGTCCGAAGAGTTAAATCAAGCGGCTCTCTAAGTCCAAAGAGAGAAAACGAATGACCGCGATGGAACTTCGGAGTTTATAACAGTGGTGAAATATATAGATTGCACGATTATGGATGGAAAAACAACAAAACATTACAGTGATTTAACCCTTTTAGACTTGTTGGTATTATGCATGTATCATCAAGTTGATTTTATTTATTCATTTTTCCTTCATTATTTGATTGCCTTCACATAGAAAATGTAAAAAAGAAAACAAACAAACATGCTATCAAAGGGTTAAGTACTTAGAGTTTCGATCGAACCATCTCTCTCTCTTTGAGTTAAGCATCAATGCAAAATTGACTAAACATGGCTTGTCCCATTATTTTGATATCTGGTTTATCATTGATTATCATTAAAATAAAGATATTGATTACCCGAAGATTTTGTTAGAAAGTGCACATATATGAGAATCCATTGCGTACTTTTCAAGGAAAGAAGGAGAGAATATCTTATTCTTATGAGACCACACTTAAACGATCGCTAGAGTAAATCGTAATAAAAATTTTGTATTTACTCTATAAATAGAAAACAAATACAAAAATGGCCGAAAATTTATTTTGCAAAATCACAAAAGCATTAATTTGTGTACTGACAAATAAGTACAGAAATTGCTTCCTATATTTTTTTTTTGTTCCCAATATGTAATACGAATATAGTGTGAGTGGGCTTTTGCGAGAAATGTTAATATTTTTCTTACCTCAAATAATATGTCAATAGAATTGTACTAAAATACATTAATGTTAAGACAACAATAGTTGCATATTTTCTTGAGATATGCTATACGATTTCAATTAGAGGCAAAACAAAAGGATATTAACTTTTTCAACATTTTTATCGTTTGCTCTCTTTCTTTCTATCATCGGCGTATTTGACCGACAACAACAGTGATATATAACGGTATTACTGTAAAAAAAAAAAAAAAAAAAAAAAAAAAGGAAAAAAAAAGAAAAAAAAAGAAAAAGAAAAAAACTGTTATTTGTTGTAGACTTGTTGCAGATTTAATTATTAGTCTGCGTGGATAAAATTAAGGACATTATGTTTGTAATCATATTATCAATTTAATATTTTTTTCTAGGCAAAGAAGAAGAATAAGATGATTACTTTTTTGCATAGTTTTACATGGATGAAGCTATGCAAATGTAGTTTATGTTTATTATTATAACATGAGCTTTTGCATTGTATAACTATACTTTACTATTGATGAAATAGTCTATCTTCGAATTGATCGTTATCATTGGTGAGTTCATATTTCGGTTTTTTCAGTTTTCATAAAATCGCCTGATACGAAATTCTACAATATAAAATGGGTTATTATAATCTTTAAAAGGTCGTTATCACGCTTCTATTATTCTTTATTTCAGAAATAAGATTCTGGATCTTACTAAAATGTCGCGATATTTACAGATAATAATAAATTTCGAAATATTTATTTATTATTCTTTTTTTGTTTTGTTTTGTCTATATGACCTTATATTATATGTCAAATATTATGATTTAATTTTTACATATATATCCTGACGATTGCCTTTGACAAAATTGTAATCATATACCATCATTGATACCCGTGTTATCGTGTCTTTGAGGTGGAAGAAAATATAAAAAATAGCTAATATTATCGTGACTCGCGATGCGAAAACAACGTTAGTTACATATATAGATTATATTGTTCCATTACAAGTGGGAAATTCTACCAAGAAAAACATTAATCATTATTAAGTGAGAATGTGCATAATTATTACTGAAAGAACTAAATGTGTATGATTAATCATTAGTGGGAGGTATAAATGAAATGAATAGTGTGTATGGTTATAAAACAAGAAAACGAATGTGCGAATGTGTAAGTTAATAAATAAATAATGATATATGCACTTATTAATGTCTCTGGTGTATATACATATTTGTGCGTGTGTGTATGCAATGAAATTGTGACAGTAACATTAACTAAGATATACTTTAATGCATAACAATGAGGAAATACATTAACATTACTGCTCCTTTTACCTCTATAAATAAATACTGAAACATTGTATTATATTTATTGTTTGATTTTATCTTTAATTTCAAAGGAAAACATCGAATTCCTTTTACTTTTTAGAATTGGACATTGTGCCCTTTTCATTTTTTCTTGCTTTTTTGAATATAATTTATTTTATATATTTAAGATACAAAGAAAAATTATGGCTACATTTGCTTGCCTTATATGGGATAATATTTTTCATATAGAAATTTAAAAATAATACAATTATAAGAATGAATTTAAAATTATAATGATTAATACAATAATTTATCGTAAATCTCAGCATTTTATACGTCCATACTAAGACAACTTGTAATCTTAATTATGACGAATTACTAAATCTGATCACAGCTTTATTAACACACGATATGAAATGAAAGTTACAATACGTAAATTCTATTCTTATAAAAATAAATTAAAGTATCCGTTAGAATAATACAAAATTGTTGTTTGTAATCTTATAAAAAAAAAAAAAAAAAAACATTTTTTTAAAATACTCCTGAAACATATCACATTAATATACTCAATTCTCTAGAAGAACAAAACAAATAATTTACAAATTTAATAACATAAAAGAGTGTGAACTTGTCGAAGTTCATTTTTTCCTACAACTATAGTATGTGTTTTTTCTGGACCACTATAGGGAATACTTATCTGCGCTGCAAGAATCTGATTTTCTTGCATTGCTGTTGTCATTTCTCGATTTGGAAATACAGCAAAATGAGCTTCTGCTCTTCCTCCAACATTACGTTTAACCGCTTCCTCGCGTATTTCTCCCTGATAAAATCATTTTATTAATAAATAAAAGTTATATATTGTAGATATACAGAATTTTTGCTAATATTAATAATCATTAATTATGCAAAGAAAAGGCAAATAAAGATAACTTACTGCCAATCTATCAGCCTTTTCTTTGTATTGTTTAATCAATATTTGTCGTTGTAATAATTGATATATAGGTTTTGATTTTTCGAGTACTGGTGTTTTTGTTGAAGACGCTTTATTACGTGTCAAGTCAGGTACGGTGGGGAACGTTATTACATTATGAATATCCTGAAAAATAATTTCAAAGTCAATAAATTCGATCCTTTCGTTTCATGTAGACAAAATAATATTTAAAAGTGTTAAGTTTACACTTACTTTTAGAAGATTATTGGTTTTCTGTTCTAATTCATTGATATTTGCATCTGTAGTTTCCGGATTTTTCATACATGTCAACGGTTTTAAATTTTCCAGTTTTATACGTAATGAATCAGACAATAATTTCCTTTTTTGCAGATGCTCATTATTTAGAGCTTCTTTGAGTAATGTTACTTCTTGCATCAACAATTTATCACTTGCAGTTTGAATGCCTGCAGCTATAAACGAGGAATTTCCTACTGAAATATCTCCCCCAGATGTTGATATCATCGTCTTTTTTCCAAATGATTTTAATTTTTCTTTTAATTGTCCTCTTTCGGTCTCCAAACTATCAATATCTGTTTGAAGATGATCCATTGTTTCTTCGAATTCTTTCTCCTAACATAAAGAGTATATTTATTCTTTAACAATGTTTAAAAATTTTAGTAAATAAAAATGATTACGGACAAGTATACCTTCCGTTTAAGTTGATTTTGAGCTTCTTCTAACTTTCTTGTTAATTTTTCAACGTTTAATTCGTGTTCATGTTGTTGCGTTGTAAATTTCTTCTCCGCTAATTCTTTTCTCAAAGTCATTTCGGATAATTCTTCCTGTTTCTCTCGTAATGCTATTCTTGCTTCACGTATATCGCTATCTCGTGCTTCAAGTTTTCTAATAATTCAGAAATTGAAGTAATTCATTTTTATTACATAATTTTGTTTTCTATTATGGTCTAGCTTTTTTTTTTTAACAATGTGTTACCTGCTAAGTATTTTGGTCTCTTCTGCTTCCTTCCTTGCTATTTGAGCCATTAAGATTATTGGTGCTATTGTTTCATTTGTTTCTTGTTGATGTGAAATAGGCCCTGTCATTGCTAAATCATTTTCACATTCTGTCATTTTTTGTGCTAAATTAGCTGCAAATTGTTGCATAATTGTTAAACTAGATTTTATTGTTGCCACTGGCCCTATATCTTCAGTATCATAGACTTTCTCACTAGCTATAGCAGCTATATCTTTTAATTTATCAGCTGCAAGACCTGTATCTAAATCTAATAAAATATTTAACCATTAGATCATTTATTAATTGTCTTTATATTGTGTTTTTATATAATATATTTATGTTGTCAATTTTTATAAAATACTTACCTCCATTTGCAACAATAGCTTGCAATGCACTTTTTAGTAAAATTTGTAATGTTTTCATAATTTTTACAGAAGCTTGATAACATACAAATAATTGATTGCTATAATCTTCATCTAATCCTAGGTTTGCGCTTATTAAGCTTCCAGTATGATCTCGAGGAACACGTCTTCTAGCTGACTTTAAGTGCTGCTGTATTACTTCACAAGTTGTTTCAGCATATTGACAGAGAAGTCCTATGGGAAGAAAACTTGTTTATGAATCAAAATAAAACAACATATATAATGTTTATAAATCTTTCTTTCTTTTTTCTCCAACAAACCTATATCGCCAGTGTCTCCTTGAATGAGAACTTTTATAGCTGCAGCATCAGTTGCAATGGCATCACAAGCACTACCTAAACTTCTAGTTCCATTAACGATTAGGCGAGCTTGATTAATAGATGCACTTCCTCCAAATAATATCGAAAACATTGTAGAGAAATACTCGCAACATTTTTCCACGGCATCCACCGAAAGATTTTCATCTAGCTGGTCTCTTTTGGCTAATTCAATTAACGAATCCACTGATTTTTCTTGCGCTACCATTTCCGGGAATGCAGCTCCTACTTTAAGTAGTGCTTCTGGATTGCAAACATTTAGGGCAGATTCGAAACATCCGAGGGTAGTTTGTAATGCATACATGCACGCACAAAGACGAGAACGAAAAGCATATTGTTCCACAGAATGACCTTTTACTATGCTTACTCTATTAAAAATATAATAATAATGATTTCAGTAATAATCAATAATAAATCAATATTGTATTAACCGATATTCTCACCTGTCAATTTTATCAGTCGTACTGTATTTATCTCTAACTTGTGAAATCAGTATCTCTGTTTTACGTATCATCCGTGGGATAAGTAAAAGAGTTAAGATTGCATCGTGATCCCCACCGCGTGCTAAAAATGCAGGAGACATGAATGAAAGTAAGTAACGCACATGACTTTGAGCTTCTTCAGCATCTAATCGTCGTATTTCGAGGTCGACCGCTTTGGTTTGGGCTCGAGTTTCTGCAAAAGTTTTTTGGAAATCTAATATTTCGGCTAGCTGCTGTTCTGCACCTAAAATGTGGTCGACAAAAATTTTTTAAATCTAATATATCTTATATTCATTTTTAAATAACATCAAATAATATTAAACATAAATCAACCTCGCGTAATAGATTTAGTAGATTCTGTCGTCTGTACTCGTTGTTGCAATTGCAAACATTGCTCTTGTAATTGATACGTAAGCTCTCGAAACTTTGTTATAGTGAGTTCACGATCTGCTAATGTTTCTAAAGCTGCATCACGATGTCGATGAGCATCACGAGCTGATCCAAGAGCAAGATCCAATTCCTCTCTTAATTCTAATTCTAACTCTTTGGAAGATTCAGCAAGTTGATCAGACATATCCTTACAAAAATGTAAATAAATTTGTTTATTTTATTTAATAATTTTTATCTTATTGTTTACAATAATAATATATATAATATATATATATTCATAAAAATATTTTTAAAATACTACCTGTAAAGCTTCCAGATCTGCTACAGCTTCTTCAAGTTCTGTAACTTTTTGTTCTAAAGCCATTTTCTTTTCACCTAATACTTCTAC